GCAGCGATAATAGACAGGCAACAGAAAAGCAATAGTCGGTAACACAAACAAGTTAAGGATCCGAATGTTTGGGGATATGTTTTTTATGAAATTGTGTGCGCAAAAACAAATATTTTTTAATCCTAACGTTATGTTGTTCACTGTAGATTAATGGAATGACTTTGGTCCTAATGTCATACTTCAGGTAGTTTAGTAGAAACGTGGTTTTGGCAAAATAAATACACCCTGTTTATTCATTTCTAGATTGTCAAGGGAAGAGAAGACGACATAGGAGAACCATAAACACTATGTTACACACGTTGCTATGGAAACCGCATGGCCGGAAGTTATCCCCCGTCCGCCATGTCACGTCCCACGATGATGTGTTCCCGAATCTGAAACTAGGGCTGAACCAGTGAGGAAACTGGGAGCCGCGGTAGCAGAGGTGGGTCCCTGATTACATTTTCACGAAATCTAAGGCGGAGCTTTTAAAAACTTGGTTTTCGAAAATCAGTAGCAGTAAGGCATTTATTTCGCTTGTTAGTAATATATATAAAGTTTCTAAGAACAATTTTCTGTCGCTATGAATACGGATGAATTTTAAGAGTCAGTATTTGTCTGCAGCAACACATGCTTGTCGTAAAGAAGCGGCTAGCGAGTTTGAACAGTCAGACTCTTTGAGCTTTAATGGACACTGGATTATTTGGATTTGTTGACTCGATTATTTACAGACTGCCACCAAGAAGATGGAATATTTCTAAGTGCGGCGTAAACAACAAACAAATAAGATGAATTAGTACGATATCATCGTAACAGTTGAAAAATTCACTTCTACTCCAACGGTATATATTATTTTCCTTCTTACGATTTTTGAAGGAAAAAAGATACTTAAATCACACACAATCACACTCGATTTGCATACTATAGTCATATAGTGAGAATATTACCAACTTTTCAAAACAAAGAAACCAGGAAACCGTTCACTTGATTCTTGGACCAGTCGACACCATAAAGGAGCAATATCATAGCCCTGTGACAAGGATTAAGTATTCATCATGTAGTTCACTAACGTTTAATTAGTACCGTTCTGTTAATTGTTAATTGACATGCGTTACTTTCAGTGGCTGCCGTTTGTTAAGAGGTATGAAGAGAAAGATGGAAGTGTCGTCTACAAACAAGCCAGCATCGACCTTGCAAACCACCTTGGAAATGTCCTCAATTTTACGTACGTTTCATCTAACCTGTAATTGCCAACCAAAGTGACACCCGTGATAGCCCAGCGGTAAAGTGCAGTATTTTCACTGAATCGTGCACTACGTGTACCAAGTATGAAATCTAGCTTATACCGATTTTTCATTATTTATTTCAATTCATGTTTTCTATCTTTAACGGTTAGGTCTACGGAAGTCAGTTTATATCATAACTACCCGAAAATGGGAAAATTGACGGATATTTTCATCCCATGATCTAACATTATTTATCATTTCTTTGCAAATTCAAAACGAGAAGCCTCGCAGATTTTGTCTACTTTTCATTGTTTTTTTCTTTTAAGTCGGAAAAAAATGAATGTTCAAAAAAATTCATCTTAACTCAATTTTAAATTTCCAAATCCTAATAAATTATGTATCAAGAATATTGCGAGAACAGATGAAAGTTTATATAAAAGGAATATATCATTAGATCTACTTACATATATAATGCATGAGCATGGTTGGATATGGATCATTTATTATAACCATATCAAAATCAACGCAAACATGTTTGATTTCAACATCACTGTCAAAGTAGCTATCTCATCTACCTGTGGCAAGTTACTCGATCGTCTCTTGAATATAATTGTATCTACCTTGACTGAATCAGAAAATCAGTTACAGCATTTACGCACTTGCACCGTTTTTTTACATTTTGGACAGTTCCTGGCAGCTCTTTGATGCCTCCAGGAGAGTTGTCCATAGTTGTCCAAGCTCTCCCCAAGAGAGTTGTTGCCAGCCCAATCCAGAGGGCTTGGTACCTCCTGTGATTTCATCAGAGATTGCCCCCAAACATAGCTCCCCTGGTATACAGCTCTCTTTATCTGTTGGATCAAAGCTGATTCTGTTGGGGGTATATTGTTCAATGTTCTCCCCTTCGTGGCGAACAAATACTTTCTTGCTTCTTTCACTTGCATCAGATTGCTTTCTCTGTCATACACAACAAATCTTTCAAGCTGATGAATCTGTGCATTAGTGATTTCAAGTGGTGGACAAGGGTGGGAAATAAAGGTGCCCCCCAAAAATGAAAAATCTACGAGCCCTCTCGATCTTTATTTAATAAGAAGGGTATAAGCTATGATCATGCCAAATTTCAGGCCAGTAACACGAAGTGCACAATTTGATCACTTATCCGCTGGGCTATGAAGATCCGGGTTAGAATAGGTCTTCAGCAACCCATGCTTGTAGTAAGAGGCAACTAACAGGATCGGGTGGTCAGGCTCACTGTATTGTCATGTCCAGCCTCGGTTATTTACAGAGCCGCCATATAGCTGGAATATGCGGCTTCACACAACAGACAAACCAAAAAATAAGTGAAAAACTAGTAAAAGGTTTCACCTAAGTATATGAGTATGATTTTACGCCGCTTTAGCTAATACTAGCATTCCAGCAATATTGACGCGGGGGACACCAGAAATTGGACTCATTTGGGGAATGAAACCTGGGCCTTCGACATGAGGTGAGGTGAAATTGGGTTTTACGTCGTGCTTGAGAATATTTCGCTCATATGACGACGTGCATGCGTGTGTATGTGTATGTGCGGCTGCTTGTACTAGCCCAGACTTAAGCTGGTTTTATAGTGCTAGCCCACTTAGATACCATGCCGCAGTGAAGCATGAATACCCCACTCAGACACATTATACTGACTCCGAGCCGACCAGTCCTTGTTGTACCCATTAATGCCGAGCGCCAGGCAGGGACCAACAAGTACCATATTTTAACGTCTTTTAGTATGACGCGACCGGGGATCGAACCCGCGACCCCTTCGACATGACGAGCATCGCTTTCACCATTACACATGGTTACACATCAGGCTAATGATGAGGCCTAACTGTTGCTCAAGAACTCACTTAAATATTTAAGGCATGTCATATTATCATGGCAGTCATAAAGTAGTCTTGTGGTTATGGTTCGAATTGTGGCCTGAAGTCTCCCCTAGCTACATTTTTACAGTGTCCAAAGAACCTTTTTCAGGTTCTCTACATGGGTGGAAATAACCCATTGCCCGACGCCCAAGTCCAGTGTTTTTTTCTGTCGAGCAAGCAAATTTGTATATCACACCGTACCGGTGTCCAGTTGATTTTCCAATGTTAATTATGTTGTTTATTTAAAAAATCAACAAGAAAACGGCCGGTATAGTGGAAAAATTATCAGGGCAAGTGATTTTACATGTGCCACTGTACCGGAGTACACTAGCAATTTTAAAGTTATTTCCACCCCTGTCTCTACCATGAGATTACGTAAAACTATATTCTCACGCGTGTATTTCTTTATATTGTATAAGGGCGATTTCTAGGGCCATTTCTAGGGCGATACAGCTATGGACCTCAGCTACCGTTCTATGTTATCCCGAAATGTAGGAAAACAAAATTTCAAAATTTATATTGTGAGCTTTTTTTTATTGATAGGTACTCTGTATCTGAACCGGCTGACGGAGAATGGGGAGTGCCGATTTCCGAAGACTCTTCCAATTACTCAGGACTTACTGGCATGTTACAGCGGATGGTAAGAATGCTTCAGCAAATTTAATTTATTACAATAGCGTCAATTGAAGTGACGGCCTCTTGTGCATAACTGTCTACAGCTTGATCCCCTTGTCTATGTTCGGACACAATACGGTAGTATGGTTAGTGTCAAGTCTTTTAAGAATTTTGGTTTAAGGCGTTTTCATCTATACTGGATAAAAATAGTTACGGATATATGTAAATTTTGAAATTATGAATACTGATCTATTTATTCATTTACACACTGATAAAATATCAATCATAAAAATAGTTTACCAATATGCCTTACTTATTTTGTCCAGTATATTTATTATATGTATTTAGATTTATTCCCCAGAATCATTGTTCGGTGAACGAAATAGATATGGATATGAAAATAGAATCAATTATTAGTTTCTATCTTTCATGACATTTCAATCGGTAAGATAACCCAAAAATATATATTCTGTGTTTGTTAATTAGCTATATCTAAACATGACCAAAGTGTTGACTAAAAAAGCGTTTGCACAAAGTCAAACCATGAAAACTCGCTGTTGACAGAAGAGTACGCAGTACGATTCCATCTATTTCACAAACATGCTTGTCAAATCGGCATAATAACACGTATTCGCGAAACAGTAAGAGTATCCTGCCCTTTGGGGTACGTGTCACAAACACATGCAAAGTCAAGTCAACTGCTCCTCTGAAAGAACACGGGAACATGTGGTGTAAGGAATTACATAATTTTGTCAATTGAGCAAGATACACTTGGCGCTAATTTATCGGCAAACCAAGACTGTTATTCTTCGCCATACTCATCCTTAGAATTATTTAAATTGTCAGAGTTACAATTATCACCTATTAAAGAAGCAGTTTATATAGTCGAACTCTTTTTCGAAGAAAATATGCTGTCAAAGTAAATTATTGAAAATTATTCATGCTCCAGACTGTTGAAAAACAACAGTATGTCACAAAAACTACATCGTTCAAAATGCGTTTAATGGTTCATAGATTTAATTGATTTATAAATTTTATCTGGTTTTACGGCTGTTGCTGAACATATATCCAGTTTCAGATTAATATACCTTGGCCAAATGAATGTTGGTTAATGCACTAATTTTAAACAGTAGGATTGCACACCGTGAAGGTCCAGGTAAGAATTGATCTTCAGCAACCCATGCTTGCCGTAAGAGGCGACTGACGGGATCGGGTGGTCACAGGCTCTCTGACTTGGTTGACAGATGTCATCATTCCAAATGCGTGGATCGATGTTTGTGGCGTCAATCACTGAATTGTCTGGTCCGGACTCGATTATTGAGAAACCGCCGCTATTTGGCTGAAATATTGCTAAGTGCGGCGTAAAACAATGAAAGAAACAAGCAAACAAAACACGTTGTCAGTTAAACTGTATTGTCTTAACACAGGAAGTGGACTTCGTTGCGGCTCCAATGGGTTACACGGAAGGTCGAGATCTCCACGGTGACTTCCTGCCATTTGTCCATGCGTCAAGCAACGGTCTGATACTGAGGAACACCAGAGGCAGGTCCAAGTTGTCAAGCGCCCTGACCGATCCGTTCCGCTGGCAGGTGTATGCCGTTGGGGGTGCGGTTCTAATTGGGGTAGTCCTGCTCTACCTGGCAATGGAATGGAACAATCCATTCTACAACGATGACAAATCCGTAGAAAAGGGATGGAAACCAGCGGGAGCTCTTGATGCTGTGATGTATCTGTTTGGTTCGACCATACATCAGGGTAGGTGTGGCGTGTTCCATGTGAGTTTCCATGGGCATTTATAATGTGTTACTGGGGAGTGAATGTGGGAATTGGGTTGAACTCTTTGACCAGTATATCATTTTTAACGCGCCGTGTCGACGGATATCTTATAGTTTAATATAGATACTATTATTGATTGATATCATAAATGGGCGAGTGTGCTCCAAATGGTGAAACCTGTCTTTTTGGAATGATGTCTTGATCCCAATTAACGGATATGTAGCCGGAAGTATTTACAGATATCTGTACATTCTGGAATTGACCCCTGTCTATTCCATGCGCATTTGTTTGTTGGTCTTTCAACAACTGCAATAACCCCTAGAATTTACATATTCAAGCAAACTATTTCAGTAATACAGGTTTAAGGTGCATGCGTAGTGTGGTGTAAAATCAAGTGCACATGGAACTAGATTATCCATCCTCATTAAAATCAGGGGAAAAAGATCTGGAGACAGCCAAACACAACTCATGTCAGAACGACCATTCGCGAATTTTGACCGTTCAATCAAAGCCGGTCAGCTATACGAGTTCCATTCAAGACATTGCAGAGTACACTTTCCCTTTACGTATGATCAACATGCTAGAAATGGTTCCGCGCGTAATGTTATTTCGTGTATAGTTATTAAACGGATGGTATCCTCATCTTTGAGCGATAAAGACTAAAGGGATGTAGGCTATTGTTGTTGTTTCCCTTTTCGATTAAAGCCACGATCACATACTAGTAGTACTAGTTCATTTGAGGAAAGTCCATCCGTAGTTTTAAATGTTTCTAATTTCTAACCTCAACCAGTAAAACAGCGGACGGGCGAAATTGGTTGTATTTGAGTTGTTAAAAGAAACGCAATTCGCCCATTCGTCAGCACTCGCTCCTTTCCGTGACCTCCAAGAAAATTCGTCCTCGTCTCGATGCTTGTTATGTGCGAAAATACGACAAACCAATCAGAACGCGCGTAATGATTTCGGTGCTTTGATAAAAATAATTCCAAGCTCTTCAATCGTTTATGGCATTATGTCATTGTTTAAAACATCATGAAACATATATATAGTCATATTGAAAGAACAAAGAACGTAGCTAACAGAATTGTGCTGCCTTATGTGAAGGTTTTAATAAGAGTAATGCGATAGACGGTGAGAGATTCACATACGTGCGTATGCTTGCATAACGGCTCTCATGGGTGTATTTGAATGTATTTCTCACAATCTTGTGGGCTTCTTTTAGGAATTGTACGTGCGCTTTACACCATTTCTAGAAAATATGTACTGACGGACAAAAGAAACTTTCTCCTCGTTCAATTTGATCTCACTTAAAAACAAAAACAAGAAATCGAAGTTTGCAATATATAATTTGTGAAGCAATGACATAGGCACGTGCTAAGTACAAACGTTCGAATTTTAACAAGGCTGATAACTTATTGAACAGGTTATGGTCGACATGGGGTCAAACTAGAGACTTCACGATCAGTGGGTCCATTTTGGAAACACAGCAAAGCGTGAACAGAAGTTTCTAATAGCGAGTTTGACCACCTCTGAATAGAATACATGCAAACACACGTCTTCTGACTGAAGTCTGATGACGTCAGCTGGGATTCGCCTCCATTCTTCGACAAGGACTTGAGTCATTTGCTGTACTGTAACTGGTGGATTCTGTCTCCGTTGAATAACTCTATGAAGATGGTCCCATACGTGCTCGATTGCTGACACGTCAGGAGAGCATGCAGGCCACGTTGACTTTGTTGGCGTGAAAGAAGTTCTGGACAACTCGAGCGACCATGTCTGTCTGTCAGCAGCGTCCCCAGGCACGGTCGGTAGGCCCTGATACCATAGGCCCGTAGTCTCCTTGACACTATCCTTCGACTCACTGGGTGACCGAGTGCTGTTGATGCTGATGACGTTACCGTCAGGAAACGGTTTCTAAGGTATAACGTCCTCAGGTGGCGGTCTTCCTGCGCAGTTGTCACCCGGGGTCTGCCTGTTTTGGCCCGTCTGAGGTCTGACCAGTCTGTTGGTAATGCTTCTCTGCTGAAGTTAACCTCGGCATTGTAAAGTGGTTTTCAGCAACTGCTGAAGTACGATCTGCTCTGTGCTGTGATGTGGTTTTATACCGCGCATGCACGTGCATGTTACCCTTACTTGCAAAACACGTGCATTTTGCTGTTTTCGATTGTCAAGAGGTGCGTTTGAGCGCTGATGTTGGTCAGAATCGAACCCTTGTTGTTGGCAATAACTATGGGGCAATTTGCATTTGATTATATTTTCTTATGTTAATATTATGAACAATTTTGCAACAGAAAGTTTCTTTTGCCCATCAGTATAGTTATAAATCGGTACGAGTTTTAAAACAAAAAGATCACTCGATATATAACTAATCAACTTTAAGCTTTAACATTTTGGATATATTAGTCTGACTTTTTTGGGGGGCATACATATATTTTTCAGCATATTCATTTCAAAATTCCTCTAGGGATTTGGCAGCAAGGTTACATGAATGTTCAGTTTGAGAAATAGTTTAACGTCAATTTTAACGCATATATTTTGTATATGCAATACAGTAAATCTCATTTGCGATTTGTAAACCCTATGAAGAAATATATATTTGGAAATAAAGGTGAACAGCTGGTAATAATTACGTTCGAATATGTGTTTAATATTGTTTCGCCTTTTATTTGTATCAAAGATAATTAATTCTTTAAAATAAATAAATAAAAACAAAACTAAAAACAGCAATACAATATACAGTGCATCGGTGACATTAAGTACCATTATAATCAAACAAGATAGAGTTATTGTTCTTGTTTAAAGTAGTTCTGATGTTCATGCGCCAATAAAAATGCTTCCAGATGGGCACGAGTTGCTATTCGGCTTGTCCCGGAATTCAGCTATTCGGCTTGTCCCGGATTGCAATTCGCCTCGTCGAGTTGCGTCCCATGGGCACGCCAGAACTATATGACCATAAGTTATTCAGCACCATATTAGTTCCACATTAAGCTGGCACAACGTGATTTTGACTAGAATACTGTTCAAAGTAACACCCAAGTCACTCACATTCTATTTTTGGTTCATTGAAACTGTTTTGAGTATGTAAGTGAGATATGTGACGTCCATTTCAATTCACCAGGCGGCGTCCATCTTCCGGAGTCCAGTTCCGGTCGGATCCTGGTTAGCTTCTGGTGGCTGTACATTATTGTGATGACCGCCGCCTACAGCGGCAACCTCATCGCCTCCCTCACCGTCACCAAAGAAGAACTTCCCTTTAATAGTTTAGATGATGTCTTTGCTGATGACAGCCTCAAAGTCGGCTTTGCAGCAGGCGGGGTCCTTCAAAAAACTATCATGGTAAGTTAGTGAGTATGGTTTTACCGCTTTTATTCCAGCAATATGACGGCGGGGGACGCCAGAAATGGGTCTGACACATTGTACCCATGTGGATAGATAGATAGATAGATAGATGTTTAGCAGTACACATCTCTTAACAAGATCAGCAGTTGCAAGACTAAGTTAAGGCCCCGATTTCTCGAAACAAACTTAAGGTATTACTCAAACTTCAAACTGAGTTTGACAATTTGAAACAGCTGAAATTTTAATTCAACTGCATTTTTTAAATAAAAAGGCCCAAACAACTTAAGTAATCCATCCATGAAACTCAAATTGTTTACTTTGTTTGATTTCAGTTCATTCTGGGAAATGCATTTTCTCAAAACTTAGACTTAAGTTTGTTTCGAGAAATGGGGGCCAGGAAAACACCGTTGAATATAATTTCTGTTGTGTCGAACTTTGGATAACTATTTACCTTCCACTTCGACACAGTGTTATTTGACGAGACATATATAAAGTTATAACATTTGCTGCATATGTCCTAGGGGTACATTGGCCATATAACAGTCGTAACCCCGTAGCCAATATTTGTCTTTGAAAGAGACAAACCTCTGACACTGCAAATAACTGGTCTTGATGTAAAACAGCAAAGCATATGGGGATACTCATGTTCTGGGCCACACTTTTTTTAAGGAAATATACCTGTAAAAAATATATAAATAGTTTGTAGTCATCATTCCAAGGAAGGTGAGAATGACAATTGAGTGCACACTGATCCATAGGTCGGGGTATTAATGTAGCGATTTGACCAGGTTTTTGGTGTGGATAATAAATATGCACATTTATAAAATTATTACGTCTACTTTTAAATTGTTCCGTTACTGCACCTGTATCAATGGTCTTAGATACCTTGGATTGTTCCGTTACTGTAAATATATAAGCGCTAAGATACCTTGGATTGGTCCGTTACTGTCATGTAAAAGCGTTAAGATACCTTGTAATGTTCCGTTACTGTAATGTAAAAACGCTAAGATACTTTGGATTGGTCCGTTACTGTCATGTAAAAGCGTTAAGATAACCTTGGATTGTTTCGTTACTGTAATGTAAAAGCGCTAAGATACATTGGGTTGTTCCGTTACTGTTAATAGTACTCACCACCATTTCTTCTTTCCTATGGCCATTTTACGATGTAAATGTAAGCACCATATACTAACAGCATTATCAGTTAACAAAGCATATGCTGTCTCTGACGTAATTGTGTCTTACAGACATCCAACAACAGCAAAATTATGCGGCTGCGGGAGAAGATCCAAGCCTCAAGAAGCATGGACAGCAGCACATTTGAAAGAAACGTCACCATCCAAATAAAGAAAGTTCTCGACGAGAATTATGCTTTTATGAGTGATACGTCAGAATTAGATGTGTTCGCCAGAGCTTTTTGTGACTTGTATATACTCGAGGAAACATTTGAACCCATGCAATACAGTTTGGTCCTGCCACAAGATTCACCGCTAACAGATATGTTTTCTGAGGAGTAAGTATTATGTTTGAATGTGGAATTTCTTCGATGATAATAGAGAACCCTTAAGAAAATATATTCTCGGTTTAATCTGCCTGGCAAGAAGGTATGTACATTTGAAATATGGATTTGACGCAAACGTTATGAAGACGTTACTTGACTGAAAATAGTCGATAACCGAAGGTCCAAACGGAGTTGTGATTCCCGTATCAAGTTGAACATCATCGGATACAAATTTCTTTAGTTTATGCAGCCATTACACGAATCATCCAGGCAGTTTATTTTGGATTGTTTCAAAAGCCCTAAGTTACCTTGGATTATTCCGTTATTGTAATATAAAAGCGCTACTTTAGATACTTTTTATAGTTCCTTTACAAATATTTAAACGCTAAGATACTTTGGATTATTCTGGTACTGTAATATGTAATAGCTAAGATACCTTGCAATTTCCGATACTGTAACATAAAAGCGCTAAAATACATTGCATTGTTCCGTTACTGAAATATAAAAGCGCTAAGATACCTTGCATGTTTCCGTTACTGTAATATAAAAGCGATCAGATAATAAAACATTACCAAGAACTAAATACTTTGGGCTCCGGAATAAGCTGTTTTAGGATAACTGCGCACCTTTAAGAATTTTAGAAATATGATAATTGAACATGACCACCGAATTAAACAATAAAATAATTATCAATTATTCCATCGCTGAAAATCAATCCATTGTTATTGTTTCAAATAGTCAAGATGTTACTAACATTCAGAATAACATAGGTGCATCAAAACCGAAATAGAACAAAAGTAAAAATTCTCTTCATCATTCTGACACTGAGAATCACGATCTTTTAATATTCACGGTGTTACTAAAATGCGGATTCACCCTGTTGAATCAGCACAGAGACAAACCAAAAACATCTTTACTTCATTCTGACACTGAGAAACACAATCTTTTAATAATCAAATTATTTCTAAACTGCAGGGTAACAATGGTTCAGGAGATCGGTTTGATGCAGTACTGGTTCAGGAAGTGGAACCCGAGGCTGAACGATAGCGCATGTGCTTCAACAGAAACAGGGGCCAAGCCGATAGGTCTGGAGAAGCTGGTGTCGGTCTCACTCGCCCTCCTGGTGGGGATACTGTGTTCGGGTCTGTGCCTTCTCATTGAGCTGGTCGTTAAGGCTTCATCATCACTGTTTTGAAGAACACAATACATAGGCGCCTTGTTTATTCAGTCCTTTGAGAGATCGCATGCTAACAACATAGTACAAGGCGATGTATCAATGTGAACCGTTTTGCATGTGCCATGTGTCTGTTGTGGTCTTCCTGCAAGACGTTGGTCACACAAACAGAGACGCTTCAGGTCTAACCAGGGATATCGAAGACAACCAAAGTCCAAACTTCAGTCCTTATGATGCCGTCATGCTGCTGTGTCTGTTGTTTCAAGTGATTCTCAGCTAGGAATTCATTTTCAGTTCTGATGGTGCATTCGATGGATAAGTAAAATTTACACAGAAGCAGGCCATGCTATAATTTAAAGAAATACATGTGAACTATAGCATTGTTCATGACCTTGAACTCACTTGAATTTGTGGATTAGAATGCACTCGCAACGGCTCGATTTTAATGATCAGGTGAGACGGGTTTCACTGCTGTTGGGGGTGGCTGTATAGTTAAGGCACCCGCTAGGGTGCAGTGTGTAAAGCCCATTTCTGTTTGCCATATTGCTAAAGAGAAAGGACAACATGGTCGAGATTAACAGAAAGGTTCTGAGTTTGAGGGCAGTTGAAATACACTGTCATGCCAAATGGAAGGTTATTTCTGACATGATAATACATCACATGGACCATATTTTTCTCTTTCGTTACGTCTTGCGACAGATTTTGGTGTTATTTCCAAGTCATTCGACTAACAAAGATTCCATGCAGTCTTTTATCAAGATCTTCTCGAGTCGTTTCCTAATATACTGAACCACAAAAGAAACGTCGCTTTTCAAAACCAAATGCCAAATTTTGTTCATACAAAATGGTGTTTTTATTATGATTGTATCGTTATATTAACATGTTTTTCAATCCAAATTGACAGTTGTTGCCAACATCAGTGTGTTTTCTGATGAAAAAGCATATCGACCAAACGCGCCTAAAATGACAGACGTGGTAAAAGGTTCCGTATGACATTCGTGAAAATGAAAATGCACGTGCATATAGTGACAATCCTACCAATGAAAGCGAGTCCCAAACTCACCTGAAATCATTTTTGTTTTGACACAATCGCCATGGCACGACTTACGAGAAATCAGAGGACGATTGCAAGTTGGCAGACTGCACGGAGGGTAGCCAATCATTTTAATGTTCATGTTAGGACAGTCTACCGACTGCAGGAGCGGTATCAGGTCACTAACAGCATCCAAGACCGTCCACGCAGTGGGCGACCTTCAGTAACATCACAACGTCAAGGCCGACACTATCTGCAGGATCGCTTCCCAGAGAGACGAAAACAGCACGCCAGACCATTTGGACTCACAACAGACCCATGCCGATACAGTGCGTCGACGTTTGCGCGGGAGAAACCTGTGCTGTCACAGACCATATCGTGGTCCTTTCCTCACCGCTCATCATCACCAAAACCGACTGCAATGGGGAACTCAGCATCAAATTTTGCGTTATCGACAATAGAGAACTGTGCTTTTATCTCATGAAAGCCGATACTGTCGATGGCAGAGTGAGAGTATGGTGAAGGCGTGGGGAACTGTTTTCCAATAGAGTATTGTTGAAAGAGACTCATGGGGTGGTCCAAGCATCATGGTGTGGGGTGCAGTCGGTCTGAACCAGATAGTTAGCACCGTGGTGTTTCAGAATCTTGGTCCAGGATGAGGAAATGACGTGACAGCTGCTCGCTATATTGACCAAGTCATAAGACCCCACGTTGTACCACATTTTGGACATTACAGAAATCACATCTTCCAGCAAGACACACTGGCCCACACTGCCCGAGTTACATTGGACTTCCTAAGACAACATGGCATCCAAACACTACAATAGCCTGCACTCAGTCTTGATTTGAGTCCAATAGAACACATTTGGGACGAGATTCAAAGAAGACTGAATGACCTCCACCCAAGGCCGACAACCGCTTCTGGACTCGATCAGGCATTTAAAAAAATGGACTCAAGTGCCTATGGCCTTCATCAACCGGCTAATTCATTCCCTGTATAGACGATGCAACGCTTTCATCGATGCCCATTGAGGCCACACACAATACTGACTTTGAGGTATCTTAATGGTACCATTTTTGGTCATTTTGTTTGTGTGAACTCTCAATGTGATTCCCGAAAATGTGTTAACCATAATTGTCAAGTTTGAACTCAATCCCCCGTTTTGATTGTTAATTAGAGTGAGTAAAAGTGTCACACTCCGGCACAGCGATGACTAACATAACATCACTGCCACAGGCTAATTTGCATATCACGTGACCGGACTTTCTCTTGTTTGTAAACAAACGCGCATATTCATAATAAGAAGAGACTGGACTCACGAAACCTTTTCGGCGCTCTCTTCATATTGTTTTACATTGTTACATATATACTCTTCCACAACTACGACAGTAAGGTCTATGACAGTACATATTTAGATATCAAACTGGCTGCATCGTTTGCTCTCCATCAGCTTCGATGACAGCACGTGGAGCCGTACAACCTATATAAACATAGAATCGCTACGCAAATTTAAATAGTGTTACATGTTTTTGGATATTTTCTCAGAGAAACTAAACCATTCTATTGAATGTTTAGTTAGATGTTCAGACTCGTAAAAATAAAAGAGTAAAAGAAATCTATACATTATATTGAATGGACATTGCAAGATGTGACGAATCGTCACATTTTTCTGGCCTGTGGCAGAGGTACTATGCTGGTTTGCCGCATGGAACTCTGGGTAGGAGAGTGTTAAAGTGTGTGCTTAAAGAAACCGCTATGGGTGCGACATTAATTTTGTGGTTCAGTATATATGAGACTCTGATTTCTCTTTTTCGGGAACTGCATATTAGCAAGAAACACCAATTTTATGAACTCAAATACTTAGAAATGTCCTTTTGAATCTCTTCAAAAGATTTACAATAGTATTCGTTCAACTCAGAGAGGAGTAGGTACCGCCTCTAAGACACACATCACACAAGCACATACTAACACACATCTGAATCATGATACTGATCCTGATCCTAATGCTGATTCGGATCCTGATCCTAATGCTGATTCGGATCCTGATCCTAATGCTGATTCAGATCCTGATCCTAATGCTGATCCTGATCCTAATGCTGATTCAGTTGCTGATCCTAATGTTGATTCTGATCCTGATCATAATGTTGATTCAGATCCTGATCCTAATGCTGATTCAGATCCTGATCCTAATGCTGATTCTGACCCTGATCCTAATGTTGATTCTGATCCTGATCATAATGCTGATTCAGATCCTGATGCTAATGCTGATTCAGATCCTGATCCTAATGCTAATTCTGATCCTGATTCTGACCCTGATGCTAATGTTGATTCAGATCCTTATCCTAATGTTGATTCAGATCCTGATCCTAATGCTGATCCTGATCCTAATGCTGATTCTGACCCTGATCCTAATCCTGATTCAGATCCTGATCCTGATGCTGATTCAGATCCTGATACTGATCCAGGATTGTTCTTGCAATAATGTGCAGCTGAGGATGAAACTTGGTTCACCACTTCCAATCTAAACTAGTGTCCAAAAGAAACGATACCACGTTTTTCAAAGATCACTAAATGAAAACAAAACAACATAGACATTTCAAATTGATATCTTTCATTAGATAAATGATGTTACGGCATGTGTACAAAAAGTCATGGCAACCAAAGATTTACAATCATTAACACAGGGCTTTAAACGAAGTGTGGTGCCCAAAATTGAAATTTCATTTTAGCACAGTGGAGGAGGCTAGCGAGGGTAGTCTCTGAAAACAGTCTTAACGCCACTTTAGTACCGGGTATGTCCACCAGCAGCTGCGATACATGCCATGACACGCCTCCGAGCTGATGACGTCAAACGTCGGATGACGTTAGGGGCGATTCGCTGCCACTCATCCTTGAGACAATGTGCCAATTGTTGGAGGTTGGCTGGGGGGCGCAGGGCGTTTCTGATTTTCCGATTGAGGTGATCCCATATGTGCTCAATGGGATTCAAATCCGGTGAACACGCTGGCCATGACAAAACCTGTATGTTGGCGTTGGCAAGGAAGTTCTGGATCAATCTTGCCGTATGAGGCCTAGCGTTATCGTGGTGGAACACGATTCCTCCTGGATGCTGTTGGGCGAATGGCTGCACGACTGGTCGTAAAACCTCATCCTGGTAACGCTGTGCATTCAGGTTCCCCCCGAATAATGACGAGCCTCGTTTTCACATCACCGCAGATACTTCCCCGCATCATTACACCTTCGCCTCCAAATGCATGGACTTGCTGGATGCAGTTCGGCGCCAAACGTTCGCGAACTCTTCGGTATACTCGCTGCCGACCATCGTTCTTGTAAAGGCAAAACCGGCTTTCGTCCGAAAACAAGACACGTGCCCAGTTTCGACGTTGCCACCGCCGAACACGCCTGGCCCATATCAATCGGTTGACTCTGTTTTGACGTGTCAGGTAGACTCCGCGGTAGGGGCGACGTGCACGGATACCATGTGCCTGCAGTCTCCTGTAGACGGTTTGTCGACTGATCCGGTGTCCCAGTCCCGTCGCCGCCGTTAACGTCGCAGGAACGAAGCGGTTACGTAGGTGAAGTAACCGGATGTGGTTGTCTTGAATAGGCGTGGTCACCTGGGGTCTCCCGCTTCTCGGCCTGTCTGTTGTTCGGCCTGTTTGACGCAACCGTCGCATTAACCTGGTAACGATTATGCGCGCGCATCCAAACGTTCTTGCTACAGCGGCGTGTGATGCTCCCTGTCGGACCATTCCAACGGCTCTTTCTCTCTCGATCGCTGTCAAACGTGCCATTTCTTTTGTGTACTTTTTACTGCTGTGGGCACAACGTGTCGGACCAGTGGTTTTATACAGTTCATCCTCACGTGCATTTCGTGCTACACGACTTAACGTCATTTTGAGTATTCGTGCGATTGCTTCTTAAGTGAATAAATGTTACCGGTTTTTTTCGATCGAATACGTTTGGTTAGGAACGTGGGATACACAGAAATATGTTTTTTCTCCAAAAAAGTATCATTAATTTAAAAATATTGAAAAAAATATTTGGTATCGTTTCTTTTGGACATGAGTTTATATTCCCGTTCCTCAAGCTACTTGCGCCGCTCCTTCACACCATAAAAACTCTGGAGGTGGCATGCTTCTCTAACGCTGTATTTATCTCTTCACGGACTTTTATTGTTAAGCCCCTTAATCACATCATCACTACGCGCTCCTCAAGTTTCCCAAAGGTCACAGGCCCCTGCTTAGTATAGTAACTCTAATTTTCTCAAATGTTACAAGTGTTTTTGTTTGTTTTTTCTCTGTGTGTGTATATATTCGTCTGTGACTTCATATAAAGTCCACATAGTTTCCTCTGTGACCCATTCATGAAGATCCGGGTTAGAATTGATCTTCAGTAACCCATGCTTGTCGTAAGAGGCGACTAACGGGATCGGGTGGTCAGACTCGCTGACTTGGTTGACACATGTCATCGGTTCCCAATTGCGCAGATCGATGCTCATGCTGTTGATCACTGGCTTGTCTGGTCCAGACTCGATTATTTACAGACCGCCGCCATATAGCTGGAATATTGCTGAGTGTGGCGTAAAACTAAACTCACTCACTCACTCTGTGATCCAGTTCCTTCTGTACGGAACTTATCAATCAAACCTCGTACGTTCACTACCCTGATAAACGAAACGTCCTGATAATGCTTTAATCAGTATTTCTTTTTCCGTTTTTACTTGATGTGTTGTTAGTAGTGTTGTGTTGTATATGTTTTTAGTAAAGAACAGGAGCGTTAGATAGTAATGTCTGTACGTGTCTTCTCTACACTTTTTTTAGTTATTAGAGGCTTTCTCAACAATGTTTTCAGGAAATGCGAGTTGTTATTATAATCATTATTGAAACTTTCGAATAAAGCGTAAAAGTGTGATCTACTCTTCGGCTGGTGCATATGATAATTTTCTGTATCTTGTAGCTGAACACATCTTAGCTAAGAATATATGTTTGCTTTTAAAACTGTTGTAAATGTTTGTTGTACCTTCATGGCCCCGCGATTGTACCGCTGAGGTGATCGTAACCTCCATACTTTAGCATTGTCTACGGTATTCGTAACGCTGAGATTGCTTTGTGGGACGGGGCACAGAACTGTGTAGCGTTACGACTGTCGTAAGTCTACGTTAAAGTATCGAAGTAACGATCGTCTTGGCGCTACGGTCGCTTTGTGAAACGCGATCCTAGTCCACGTTCCACTAAACGATCGTAGCGCAAAGGTAATCGTAAGACCCGGAGGTCGCAGTTGGCTCTTGACTTAACGCCTTTCCAGAAACGTTCAGTCCGTTAGAGTGACATGCCCTCGTCTTGAATTTGTAATACAAGGTTAAGTATATGTGCAAAAAAACACAATTCATAGATCAAGACCCATTAACCCAGCTCTGTTTCCGGAACTTGTGAGCCCGCTTTTGCCAGCTGCGGTCAGTGTTACAAGGGGAGATAACTGAATCTTGGTTTGCTTATTTCGAAGATTTGTTAAATCCTCAACTTGAGAATGTTACTTCTGAATTTACAGATTGTGTGATTGATTTCACTACCCGCCATGATTCTGTCGAATGTATTGATTGTAATAACTCTTGCATTTTGTCAGATCGCTATACACAAGGTGAAATAAGGAAGGCAATTAATTCTTTGAAGTTGGGTAAAGCGCCAGGTCAAGACGGGATACCCTCTGAGCTCTTTAAAAGGGGGCTTTGTGTCACTCCTTATTTAGAAATTTTATTTATTTCAATTTTAGATAAAAGGGCAGTTCCCGGATTCGTGGAGTATTGGTATGATTCTACCGCTCTTTAAGAAGGGGGACATTTCAGATCCAAATAACTATCGAGGTATTTCTCTTCTGAACATTTTGGGCAAGGTTTTTACATCTATTTTGGAGTCAAGGTTAAGAATTTGGACAGATACTAATTTTATCATTCATGAGTCTCAGGCTGGCTTCAGGAGTAAATATTCCACTGTAGATAATATTTTTGTACTACAATCTTTGTGTCAAAAATATCTTCGAAAGTCAAGACATCGGGTTTATGCCACCTTCATAGATTTTCGTAAGGCGTTTGATTTTGCAGACCGGCAGAAGTTATTGTATGTATTACATAATAAGGGTGTTGTTGGTAAAATGTATAATCTCCTGCAAGATATGTATGGTAAAGTCAAGGCATGTATAGTAATGAATAGGTGTAAAACTTAATCGTTTTCAACATCATGCGGCGTTCGTCAAGGCTGTATGTTAAGCCCTGTTTTATTCACTCTATTCATTAACGAGTTGGCTATAGAATTTAGAAATAGTAGTTTAAGAGGTATTTTTGTCATTGAAGAAATAGAAAATATTCTCTTCTTGTTGTTTGCTGATGACGTAGTGTTGGTAGACGATTCAGTTAATGGGTTACAACAAAAAATAGATTTCTTACATAATTATTGTTTGAAGTGAGGTTAACTTAGATAAATCAAATATAATAGTTTTTCGAAATGGAGGGTGCTTAAAGAGCGTAGAGAAGTGGTATTATTCGGATATAGAGGTTATAATAGTCACCTACTACAAATATCTTGGTATTGTATTTTCCTCAAGATTAGTTTCGTCTAAAGCTTGTGAAACTCTTTCAGTTCAAGCTAGGAAGGCTTTGTTCCCAGTTTATAAATTATTTAAAGTTTATCCTCCACTCCCATATGTTGTAGTCCAGAAAATATTTGATACCAAAATAATGCCTATAATATTATATGGTTCGGAAATATGGGGTTTCACTTATAGAGGAGATATTGAGAAAGTCCAAAGATTATTTTTAAAAGGTGTTTCAATATTTCTAAATTGACTCGAACTCATGTTGTATTGGGCGATGTTGGGAGGTATCCAGTTTGTGTAAATTATTTCAGTCGCTGTGTCGGGTATTGGTGTAGGCTCCTTTGTATGCAACCAGGTCGTAATCCTAAGCGTGCTTCGAAATGTTGTATGCTAGTAATGGTACAGTAAAGTGAGTAACAGGGGTTTGTATGTTATTGTTCTCAATGGGCTTTTCTTATGTTTGGATATCACAGGATTTTGGCAATTATGATATATTTATGCATACCTTTTCGACACGCTGTAAGGATATACAGTTCCAGGATTGGCATAGTAGACTATCGGGAAGAAGTGATTTCCCCTTTTATACTAGCTTTAAATCTTTGTTAGACACTGAACGATATGTTGTAGAACTGTTTAGTCATAAAGATTTATTACGAATATTTTGTAAATTTAGATTCCAGACACACAAATTAAAGATTTGTAAATTAAGGTACGATAATAATATTGATACCGACCAACTTTTATGCTCTAATTGTACTATGGGTGTTGTAGAAGATGAGCATCACTTTGTATTAGTTTGTCCATATTATATGCATCTAAGAGAGCCACCTATCTCTCAATATTATTTCACGTGTCCTACAAGGGTAAAATTGTATCAACTGTTAACGTCTAATAATCCCGAACACATAAAACATCTGTCCATATAACTTGAAACGAAATCTGCCAACTTCAGCTGTCAAGCGTATGATATTGAAATGTATTTTCATGTGCTTTTGACCATGAGGCCTTATCACAGAATAAACTTGTCACTCACTTGTCACATAACTGATTTTGCTAATATGAACAGACTTATTTTGAATGAACATTTGACATGAGGTAGACGACTTAACATTTTAGACCCGACTACTTGTTAAATCTGACAGCCGAGCAGACTGTATGGCTCAACAGTGTCTTAATGTGCTAACTTCTAAGCCAGGCCAGAGTATTAGGTACGGTTTACATATTTCGTTCAGAAAAATAGAGATTTCCACAAACATGTATCATTAACAATCTATACATTTATTCGACACATAAAAACAAGAACGATTTTGTCTAGTTTTGTATCAGTCACCATCACCCGAGATGCAGACATCTCTCAAACTTCCTTTGCATCCAAATCCTAATCCAAAGACTACTATCCCGCTCAGTCAACAGATAGGACGTGGAAGTATGTGTGTTTCTGGAGAATATAATGAACTTGGTTCCAAAACATCCTATTCGATTGGTAATATTCTCAATATGTGATTTTGTGTGTACTTTAAAACCTCAAAATGTCAAGTGCTTGTCTCCCTTTGCTAATCAGTAATGATAGCCCACAAGTTCTCAAAACAACAGCTGGTGAAATGGTCTGACAAGGGGTTTGAATTAAAGTAACTAACAAATTCTTGGTATTTGTCTACTCTGTCTCACTCCTGAACGCAAATGACTGAGGATGATAATGAATAGTTATGGTTATCCATTTAAAACATGACTTTGTCTATATTGGATTAAACCTATTCAAGACAATACTGCTATCTAACCGGTGAGATCCGGGTTAGAATTGATCTTAAGTAATTCATGCTTGTCGTAAGAGGTGACAAACGGGATCGGGTGGTTAGACTCTCTGACTTGGTTGACACATGTCGACGTATCACAATTGTGCAGATCGATGCTCGTGCTGTTGATCACTGAATTGTCTGGTCCAGACGCGATTATTTACAGACCGTCGCCATATAGCTTGAACAGTGCTGAGTGCTTCGTAGAACTAAACTCACTCACTCACTCATCCACTTCACACTATGTGCCCATGTGGGGAACCGAACCCGGGTCTTCAGGGTGACGAGCGAACGCCTTAACCACTAGGCTACCCCACCGCCCCTGATAACATATGACTACGGGCAACCATCCTTACTTGACATCGGCCAGTCGTCCACGTGGGACACCATGACAAAGCTACCATGTTAGATTGGTGCATCTACGGAATAGAAACGAACTGCCACGAAACAACTCCGACAATACCTAATGTAACAATTTTGTAACAGTTATTCCACTACATGTGTAGACGGGCTAGTCCCAGATATGACACAAGGTCCAGCCGTAGGGCAGAGTTCTTTTTTTGTGTCCAAGCCAGACGGTGTTAACCACTGAATTCTAGAACATGTCACAGCTGGTAGAAAATATGAAGGGTTAGCTATCCTTGCATAGGTGGCGAGGCTCCAAATGAGTTGTACTGAGGGTCCCTACCTCGTTATGGAATTAACAATATTTTAAAGTTAATAATTGAAACCTAGCACCAAACAATACCAAAATAAATACAATATTTTCCACCCTGTTGCACTTGTAACTTAATTTTATTTTACACTTTGTAGCTTCATGTGGGTGGAGAACGTGACTCGAGGGAGGTTGTAAATAGAACCATACAATAAATAAAACTGTACTAAGCTAAAAACATAATCTTTCAAATCTTTGAAAAAAAAAAAATCAACATAGGAGTATTTAAGAAGAAAGATATGGATCTGGTGCGTGCTGTATGGTCAATGTAACGTTCTTTTACAGAGAATAACACAGTAACATTCTTGTACATTGTCCAACTAGGTAATATCGATTTACACTATAAATCAGAACTTCATGACACTTATGAAGAAAATCCAGTTCAGATGACTGTATCACAAAAATAATGTGATTTTATTAGAATTATTTCATAACATTATGGAAAACACGCATAAATTCATTAATATTGCTTGTGAAAGCTATAAATGTGCAACTGACTGTGACTTCGTCTCTCGTGAACACGACAATGACTCAAAGCCCTTTGTTAAAGATAACATTAAATACAAATCTGATTTACATCCAGTAAACTGACATGACCAGAAATTCTACGCTAAAATATCACGCATGACCTAAAGCGAGATAAGCAAAGATAACTAGGTAAGTCAGTGGTAGAATATAAGTGTCTGGTAACTATGGTTTCTTTTTTTTTTCATTTGTAAGATGTCATCGTATCCTCTTACCCCTTTCTTATATATTTCAATTTTTACTTAATCGGAAAATTATTATAATTTTTTTACTGTTATGTATGGTCTCCTAAGTCCCAATACAAGTGCTATCCGCTCGGTAACATCACACAACACCGGGTAGTACCTCCGCTTTCGAAGCTTTGTATGAATAACAAGCGAGAAGGTTCGTTTGACTTTGTTTTGTTCGAAAGCTCTGAACATCAATAATATCACCATAGCTTTGCCAGGAGTGTTTTCGCAGTGGTAACAAACTATTTTATTGGATAAAGATTGGTTTCCAATGACGCTATTTTTACCAAAGTCTGCTATAAGGATCTTGATTGGTCAAAACTAAGCACGTGTCTTCAGACAGCAAATCATATTACAGTAATGGATACAACGTTATATATGCTTTCGTTGTTACGTCATTCTGTAGACTCCCATTTACATTGTCACAACGTTGTGGCCTGACTTTGATACGTCATTTTTACGTCGCCACAAGTTATTTGATGCTAACGTATTTTACGTTGTCTTAAGGTTTTATTTAACGGTAATAGTTGAATAGTTTTCCCAGTAGTGAACAGTAAATAAGACACAAAGCAGAAATTCACTTTCAATGTTTATTCGTCAATTTGCATGTTGTTTTGGTCGTGTGTTCTCTGAAGCTGTAGCTGTATAGTGAAGAAAGAATCTCAAAGTGAAAAGTTTTACAGAAAACTATCGTGACACCAAGTTATAAGAAACATAGTTATAGGTACTGTCCTTGTGTACGATAACTTATAGATTTTGATGAATGTTTTTGGTTAAGTCGTGTTATTCTGAACGGTGCAAGCAGGAAATCGCCACCTATACTTAAAATATGGAACATCGTGGACGCATTGTACTAGGTTGAGACCTACGATAAATATGTCTCATGAATATATATCCCCATAAAAACCGTGTCCGAGCGAAAGGATCCCGCGACAACAACTGAGATGTCATTTAACTGACATTACACTGTCAATAATGTACGTATATTTACAGTTTCTGTATTTTTTTCCGAATGCTTTTGAAAAACGAAACACAAGAACATGACTGAAGGACACGTTAATCTATTTTACATTACTGTTTATCTAAATGTTTATTGTAAAATATATTGTCGGACACTGGGGCCGGCAGGTGGTAGGCTTCCATCGCACCGTCTGCAATTTTGTCCGAGGGTTCGACGCTTTTCGTGAACGCTGGGACAGCGTCCAGTCCTCTGGAGTCCCCGCGTCTCGTGGTCAGCTGACCTACTGAATCTTGACGGATGTCAGAAGGACGTCACCCTCGACGTTCAGGAAGTCAACTCTGCTAAGTGGCTGGATCCTGTGATTGAACTCAAAGAAGTGTTGGTTGTTGACGGCAACCTGGAATACAGGGGTCTGAAGTTAGCAGGTTATAAAGAGGCATTTCATTGGCCACCATATCTACATCCTCCAGCTCTCTAGTGGAGCTCCATGGGTTCTCGTCTCCCTGGGAGTACTGAACACAAACTGTTTTGGTTTATAGTTTGCATTCACATTAACATCTGGTCCTACCGGGTACCCATCCACTGCTGGTTGAATAATGTCACTTAACAGAAGTGCAGAGAGCGATCACCCAGAAATTCTACCCTGCGAGCATCACTGCCTTGACTTGCCTTGTCATTTTAATCATCAATATTCTCCACTGACAATTACTAAAACTTAATTTAACAGGCTAACATTGTCAGCAATCATACATGACTTGAATATTGACATCTATTCCATAACCCCTTCCTTCCTGAAAAACATTAAATGTAGAGTATCAGAAACACAGTGTTTCTGAAAGCACATGTAAACTACCCATAGTGAACAAAATAAGTTAAGGATAATCTTATTCATTTTTATCAATATGCCATGACAGATAAACTTGAAACAAATATATGCAACATATGTTATATCTGAGCTAAAACTTTCTCAGTAAAATTCCGATTCTTGTACTTTTGTTAGGCTCTTCTGGGATTCCAACCCAAACCCTCAGAGTCAGGCACTTAATCGCCAAAACATAATGTCATCCATCTAACCCACTCAGACAAAACAGTGGCTGAGTGTATTAAAAAAATATGTGGTAACTAAATCGTATTGAGTAGCATAACAAGAGTTAAGTCCCCTACAAATTATAACCTCAGTGCTGTAATTACGACCATCTTTCGTCAAAATGATGAATCCTGGTATTCTAAAACTATGTGGTCATTAACTCATTATGAGTAGTATAACAAAGGTTATGTCCCCTACAAATGAAGACGTAAGTACGGTAAAAGTGACCAGTTGTACTTTTAACATTTACTTTTATATCTTACTGCCTCCATCACATATTCTTCATAATCTTATTTGAGGAGGATTTGCACATGAAAACATCTAAATGTTTCACCTTGATTTCGGCTTGTTCAATGAGGATGGTCATGTTGAATTCGGCTTTGGGCACGAAGGGGAAGTAGTTCTGGTGTGTCTCCTCAGTTCCCCAAGCATTGCTGACTCTGTGGTTCCTGACGGTCTGGTTGCAATCGCCGAGATGGTTGAATCTGACATCAAGGTGCAAGCCAATGTCCGCTTGCCTACTCTGACCACACATCAGGTTTACTGTGAATCTACAACCAGGTGGAAACGCTGAATGAGTGAATGTTGTTCTCAGGGTTGAATTGTATTGATCTTATTACAGGTACAGCCATCCTTCTAGAAACAGCCCCATCCTGAAATGTCTACAATCATGTCTGTCCTGGTCATGTACATGACAAGGGCAGATAACTACAATTCAAGTGCAAAACCAAACAATGACCCATTCTGTCACCATCTGCTGTTCAAATGCTTCCATGACAACATTTTACGAGATAATGGGAAGTTTAATAATTTCCTTCAGTTAAAACTGTTCACACTAAAAAACGTTTCAAATGCATTGAGTGACAACAACAAAAATCAAATGCGGTGGAAAGACAACTTCTAGGGAAGCAGTTTGTGTAATACTCTCAGGTAAAATAAACGGTGCTTGCATAACTGCAGCACTATTTCAGTTGTAGAAGAGCAGCCTGCAACTGACCGAGTCTGACACGGCAAACACTCGACTAAGAGTATCACACTTGAGCAATGTGAGTGAGTGAGTATGGTTTTACGCCACTATTTGCAATACTCCAGCTATATCACGGCACGGGGACATCAGAAATGGGATTCACACGTTGTACCCATGTGGGGAATCGAACCTGTGTCTCCAGCGTGACGAGCAAACGCTTTAACCATTAGGCTACCTCATCGCCCCTGAGCAATGTGAGGATAATGTGATTTAGGTATATTTTCAATTAATTCATCAGGATGGGGTTCTCGACTGGTGTGCCACATGTTCACGATTTACTGAAGGATGGGGGTCTCTACTGGGGTGCCACGTGGTCAGGGTTTAGATTTACTGAAGACATTGAGATGGGGCTCTCTACTGGTATGCCACATGGTCAGGGTATAGATTTACTGAAAAAAATAGGATTTGGTCTCCACTGGTGTGCCACGTGGCCAGGGTAAAAATTTACTGAAGACATTAGGATGGAGGTCTCTACTGGTGTGCCACTTGGTCAGATTATACATTTAGTAAAGTCATTACGATGAGGGTTTCTACTGGTGTGCCACATTGGGTGTATGTTCACTGAAGACATTAGGATGGGGGTTTCTACTGGTGTGCCACATTGGGTGTATGTTCACTGAAGACATTAGGATGGGGGTTTCTACTGGTGTGTCATGTGGTCAGGGTATAGATTTACCGAAGGTATAAGAATGGAGGTCTCTGCTGGAGTGCCACGTGGTCAGGGTATAGATTTACTGAAGACATTAGGATGGAGGTCTCTACTGGTGTGTCATGTGGTCAGGGTATAGATTTACTGAATACATTAGGATGGGGGTCTCTACTGGTGTGTCATGTGGTCAGGGTACAGATTTACTGAAGACATGAGGATGGAGGTCTCTACTGATGTGTCATGTGGTCAGGGTACAGATTTACTGAATACATTAGGATGAGGGTCACTACTGATGTGTCATGTGGTCAGGGTATAGATTTACTGAAGACATGAGGATGGAGGTCTCTACTGATGTGTCATGTTGTCAGGGTACAGATTAACTGAAGACATGAGGATGGAGGTCTCTACTGGTGTGCCATGTGGTCAGGGTATAGATTTACTGAAGACATGAGGATGGAGGTCTCTACTGATGTGTCATGTGGTCAGGGTATAGATTTACTGAATACATTAGGATGAGGGTCACTACTGATGTGTCATGTGGTCAGGGTATAGATTTACTGAAGACATGAGGATGGAGGTCTCTACTGGTGTGTCATGTTGTCAGGGTACAGATTAACTGAAGACATGAGGATGGAGGTCTCTACTGGTGTGCCATGTGGTCAGGGTACAGATTTACTGAAGACATTAGGATGAGGGTCTCTACTGATGTGTCATGTGGTCAGGGTACAGATTCACTGAAGTCATTATGATTGGAGTCTCCACTAGAGTGCTACATATCAAGGTGTACACTCACCGGGTCGGATCAGGGTTGGGGATTCCACTGATGTTCAGTATGCGGCCAGGGTAGATACCACCGGGAATACTGGTTGTGAAAGGCACAGGCTGCAAGTGAGTGAGTGAGAATATTGTTTTAGGCACTTTTAAAAATATTCCAGCAGTATCACGTCGGGGGACACCAGAAATGGACTTCACTCATTGTGCCCATGTGGAGAATCGAACGAAAAAAAACGTCTTCAGCGTAAAAATTAACCTGATGAGTTCAAACTGTATCAGCTGAACACAATGCATAGAGCAGATGTTTTGAATTATCTGTGGAGAGATACGATGTACACAAACTAGTGATTGATATTGTGAACAGAGACTAATATTGTCAGGATATAGTGACACACACAGTCATCATCACTCCATCGATGACAGATTAATGAAACAATGTAGAAATTTAGTTCACTGATCCTGACGGATCCATGGAGTCAACTCAAACATGCTGGGACCTATTCTAATCTGGAATGGGTTATTGTGTTTGAAATGATTGAGTTCAATAAAGAAAAATTACAACTCACCGGGTTGTACATGGGTTGAGCATCTGAATTTGCTGGACTCTGTACAAACACACACAATAACATACATGGCACATATATGTCACGTACAGGGCACATACAAGTCACGTACAGGGCACATACATGTCACGTACAGGGCACATACATGTCACGTACAGGGCACATACATGTCACATACATGGCTCATACATGTCACGTACATGGCACATATATGTCACGTACAGGGCATATACATGTCACGTACATGCACATACATGTCACGTACAGGGCACATACATGGTACGTACAGGGCACATACATGTCACGTACAAGGCTCATACATGTCACGTACAGGGCACATGTCACGTACAGGGCACATACATGTCACGTACAGGGCACATGTCACGTACAGGGCACATACATGTCACGTACAGGGCACATACTTGTCACGTACAGGGCACATACATGTCACATACATGGCTTATACATGTCACGTACAGGCACATATACATGTCACGTACAAGACACATACATGTCACGTACAGGGCACATACATGTCACGTACAGGACACATACATGTCACATACATGGCTTATACATGTCACGTACAGGCAAATATACATGGCACTACAAGATGGCAAATATACAGGGCACATATATGTCACGTAAGGGCACATACATGGCACGTACAGGGCACGTACAGGGCACATACATGGCACGTACAGGGCACGTACAGGGCACGTACAGGGCACATACATGGCACGTACAGGGCACATACATGTCACGTACATGGACTGTTGTCATCCTGTCTTGTAATGTACACCAGGGTATTCTATGTCGTATCGTGCCAGGAAGGCAGACTTTCATGCAGCAGCATCCGGAACAGTTACAGTGGAGAAAAATGTAATTTTTTTAATAAAATTGATATTTTATACTTATCCTGACTCATGCTTATTTGCTTGTCTTCTTCCTCTTGCGAACATAGTGGAACACTTGTATCTCTTTATGGAAGCTCCCTTCAATAAAAATCGGACGTAAAATCACTACTCACCAGAGTTATCTCTGTTTCCGGTTTTGGCGGGAAAAGTGGCGCCACTGTTTTCCCACGCTTCACTCTCTCCTGATAATGAGCCCGACACTTGAATTTGCAGGGAAATCCAAACTGTCCAGAGGGGAGGTTGGGAGGGCTTACCTCATGAGTCAGGATAAGTATAAAATATCAATTTTATTCAAAAAATTGCATATTTTTCCTTATCCTGACTCATTTGGAGGCGGGAAAAATACTTTAGGATTTCGTGTAGTGATTTACGTCAATATATACCCCCTATGGGAACTTCGTATTGGCACTGTGCTAATCTCTGCTGCTGTTTGTGACCCTGTCCTTTCAGCTGACTTTTGATGGGGGACCACAATTGTTAACTTTGGTCCTTTCTCTGTTAACATTTTTATGTGGATTTTGCGACTCCATTTCTTGATGCAAGCACCAAGTGGAGAAACGACCCTTTCCTGTACGAGTATTCTCACAAGTACTGGGTCAAATCACTTATGCTAGTCGTTAGACGTGCATTTAGACTTAAGCAGAACTCTGCTGAGTGTAGGCTTGATAAGTCATGTGATAAAAGAGCGAGACTTCGTCTCAACGTCTTTGAGGAACTGTAAACTGTTGTGCGACAACCAGTGGGCCGAAATGGTGAATGCTTGAGACGTCCTTGGTGGCGATATCTCTCAAGTAGGGGTTTGCAAACACCATGTCTGATTTCCAGAAGCAGCCCTCCATTATCGTCTGTAGCGAGCAATTCCCATGTAGAGCGAGTGTTGACGCCAGCACTCTAACTTCGTGTGGGTTGGAGGCTCTTGGAGGATCAAGTCCTGCTGCCTTGTAGGCCCGTAGTATGACAGTTCTGATCCAGATTGATATCGTAGTGCGGGAGACCTCCGTCTGTGTCGCTGTCGATATCGGGACGAAAAAATTTGCGTCTCCTAGTTCTGGAATGTTGTAGATATATTCTCAATGCTCTCACTGGGCACAAGGATAAGTCATGCGTATCTTGTGGTCCGAGGACGGAGGATAATGCTGGGACGTGGAATTGTCTGTCCGGTTGACCTGGCAGTCGATTCTTTGCGATGAAATCCCATCGTATTCCCATATGCACTGTGTGTTGATTTTCATCAAAACGTGTTCTCTCGTAGTTAAGAGCATGTATTTCCGACATCCTGGCTGATGTTGCTAGGGATAGCAGGAACAGCGTCTTTTGTGTTAAGAATTCGAAGGATGTCGTTTCTAATGGTTCATAGACGTCACTGGTGAGATGTCGTAGAACAACGTTGAGGTCCAACGCCGGAGCTTTGAATCTCTGTTGTTGGTCCTCCAACTTATAAGAGCGTAACAAGGCCAGTAACTCTTGTACTTTCGTTAGCTTGCCACCTGTCCTCATAGTGATGACTGAGCTCAATGCCGCTAGGTATGTTGAAAGCGTAGATCATGTTAGCCGCTTTGTTTGCCGTAGGTGACAAAGGTAGTCCGCCACTTGAGGGTGTGATGCTTTTCTAGCTGAAAAACCGTTTCTGGCAGCATATGTCTCGAAGCTTCGCCACTTGTCGTCGTACAAGTTGCGTGTAGACTTGCGTAAAGCTAGTGTCACTGCTTTCGCTGCTCTGGCGGAGTACCCTCTCTTGTTCAAGCACGCCTTGATACAGTCCACACGTGTAGTTGGAATGTCCCTGGGTTGCCGTGCGCCTGCTTTGTGTGAGGATGTACGAGTAGATTCGACCACTCTGGTAGTTGCAGTTGTGGTGGTCCTAGTTCTTGTATGAGGATAGGGAACCACATTCTCGCTGGCCAGTAGGGCGCGACCAAAATCAGTTGGAGGTTCCTGGTCTGGCTGATTTTCTGCAACACCCTCGGTAGTAGCGCTGGCGGTGGAAACGCGTACGCGTTTAGTCCTTCCCAGGATATGCTGAGAGCGTCCGTTGCCCACGCTCGTGGATCTGGTACTGGAGAGACGAATGTTGTCAGCTGATTGTTGAAACGTGTGGCGAAGAGGTCTATCAGCGGGGCTCCTATCTCCTTGATGATCTGTTTGAAGATCTCGGGATGTAGCATCCATTCCGTCGGAGATGGTTGAGTTGGACGGGAGAGTGCGTCTGCTATGACATTCCTGGCTCCTGGAATGTGGCATGCTCTTATGTGGATGTTCAGATCGTCAATTAGGTAGAACAGTTGAAAGCAGAGGTCCAGCAGGTCCAATGATCGTGTTGATCCTTGCTTGTTTATGTAAAACGCCACTGTGGAGTTGTCCGTGTGTACCATGAGATGCGCATTCTGTAGAATGTTGCTCCAATGGAGTATGGCGTTGACGACTGCTTTCATTTCCAGCATGTTGATGTGCAGACTTTTCTCTTCCTTGGTCCATTTCCCGGCTGCCACATCGTTGTCGAGATGTGCTCCCCAACCTTGGAGTGACGCGTCCACATACAGATGAGTCTTGCACTCCGGCTCTGCTAGATAGATGCCCTCGCAGACATTCGCTCTCTGGGTCCACCATAGTAGATGAGGTCTGAGGTAGTCCGGGAGACCGAAGGGGTCTGGGTCGTTGAGATGAGCATTGATGAAGACCTGTAACGGGCGTAGCTGTAATCTCCCTCTGGCTGTCATGTCTTGTGCAGACGTGAGGAGACCCAACAGACTCTGCCACTGTCGTAGTGGCCACGGAGAGAGTAGGGCTTGTGGGATTGTCTGTTGAATCTTGAGCCATCGGTCCTCTGGTACGACGATGCGGTTCTGCGTCGTGAGAAATCTGATGCCTAGGAACTGCAGGTCCTGCGTAGATTCTAGGTCCGACTTGAGTAGATTCACTAACCACCCCAGCTGTGCAAGCAGTTTGATGGTAAAGTTCAACTGCAGTCTGAGATGCTTGGGATCTTGATGTACTTGAATCCCGTCTTCGAGGTAAAAGGCACTGCGTAGACCTCGATGATGTAGATATATGACTATGGGTTTCGTCACCCTTGTAAACAACCAAGGGGCCGATGATATTCCAAATGGCAGGACCTTCCATTGGTAATGTAGCCCGTCCAGTGTAAACCTGAGGTACTTCCTCGAGTCTGGATGTACAGGAATATGCAGGTAGGCGTCCTGTAGATCTATGCTGGCCATGTAGTCCATCGGACGGACGAGGTGGATTAGTTGAGGTAGATGTATCATGCGGAACTTGGGAGGTCTGCTCAGATAGTCTCTGTTGAACGTGCTCATATTGTAGATCAGTCGGAACTTTTCTTTGGAGTTTTTCTTGGGCACTAGGAAAACTGGGGAGTAGAAACCTGGCGTGATGTTGGTTTGATCTACGACCTCTATGGCTCGCTTTACTAGTAGAGATGAGACCGCCTCTCTATCTGATGAGTCTTGAAGTCGAACTTGTGAGGGTCGACTGTAAGCGGTGGAGCGGCCTGTAGTTGTATGCGATATCCGTTTCTTAGGATGTTGGATACAAACGGATCTTGAAGTATTCCCCAGTTTTCCAGGTGTAGCTGAAGGCGTCCACCCACTTGTGAAGGTTGTACAGGAACGGCTGGGGGTGGAAGACTCCAGTCGTTCCGAACCCTTCTTTCATCGTCGATAATCCTTGGCGCCTCTGGGTACCCTGCCTCGTCCGGACCTTGCTCTGTAGTTGCCGGCTGGGCGACAAAAGGAACTTTTTCCGCCTCTGGTGCTACCCACTTTCTTGTCACGTGCTCTCTGTATCCCAGTAAACTTGGACTTGCCCGAGTAGCGCTGGGATGTTTGCCTGATGACGCTGGACAGAGTATCTATGGACTTGATCATAAGGACCTCCCTTGAGTCTTTGGTAACTTCCTTGGCAACCACGTCGATTCCTCCAGCGAAGATGGAAGGAGTTGACCATGGGGCTGTGTAGAGTGACTTGGTAAAGTGGTCACTCCAACTGCAGGAGGCGAGGAGACCTTGTCGACGTGCCAGTGTCAGCGCTGCGGAGATGGATGAGAGATGGTCTGTCATAAACTGTTGGTCCTTCTTCTGCATAAGGAGGGCCGAATATATCATCCTATCTTCTTCCGCAGTAGAGTCTCGGAATTTAGCGATGAGCGTTTCGTTGACTGCCCTTGATCTGTTGAGGCCGAAGAACATGCGCCTGGTCATAGTTTCAACTTGTGCCAACTTTTTGTCTTCAATGTTGTAAGACTTAGCCTTGGCATCACTGATGACTTTGAAGTTCTCATCGATGTCCTGTGCCTTCAGGAATGGATCCATGTTGTGGAAGGAGAACTTTTTTGGCGTTGAACTGTGCTAGATGCGGCGCTTGGGCTTTTGTGGCTGACTTGAAGGCTGCGTCCAGGTTCTCTGGGACCGCTGCGATGGGATCAATCGGAGGGAGAGTGATCGTGTCGACATCATCATCCTGCATGAGATAGGTGTGAGCCGGATTATCATCCTTAGATGGTGATGCCAAGTCTAGACCGTTGGCCATCCAGTAGCGTATTTCAGCGTCCGAAAAGATGATCCCGCCGTCATCTTCAATGACAGGAGTGTTGAGTAAGGGACGTTGATCCTCCTCTGATGGTGATCGAGGTGGAGTCCTTCGCAAATGCGGTGACCTGTGTGAAGACCTGCGCAGAGACCTGCGCGGAGACCTGCACGGAGACCTGTGTGGCGACCTTCGTGGAGACCTTCGTGGAGACCTGCACAGAGACCTGCGTGGAGATCTGCTTGGAGATCGGCGTGGAGATCGGCGTGGCGACTGTGGGTTCGTGAATGTCTCGGCGAATCCCTCGACGATCTTCGTGATGCAGAACATGTCTTGGATACTGTATCTGAAGTCATCTGTATCGCTGATCATCTGATTCCACATCTGGGGAATGGCGACTGGTCCTTCGCGAACGCCTTCGCGAATGCTGATCGTCCGAATCTGTAGCAGGTGATGACCGAGTCGTCCTTCGCGAATGCCTTCGCGGATGCTGATCGTCCGAGTCCGCCGCAGGGGATGGTTGAGTCGACCTTCGCGCAGGCTGGTCCTGGAGTGTAGATCTGCTGCCAGATGTCACGTTGATGGAGGGCCCCTCAGAGACGACGTCTGCATTGGAGCCTTCACGAAGGCTCGGGACCTCTTCCTAGGCTGGCTGTGACTTCTTCTCCAGGCCGTAACGCTGCTCCATCATCTCCATGATTTGTTGGGAGAACTGCTGCATAAAGTCCCCCGGGTTGAAGGTCTGCGGTGGTAGTAGCGCTGCCCTTTCTGCGGTGATAGCGACGTGGCCCACAGGACGCTCATCTGTTGTCAGCGTAGATACCTCGGGTTGCGTGGAGATCTGCGCTGAAGTCACCGTAGCTGAGACTGGTCTTTTCTTGGGATGAGCCTCTGGGATGATGATCGGTTGATCATCATAGAGTCCCTGTTCCGTTCCGTGTTGTCTGCGCTGACTTCCCCGTGGTCGACGCCCTGGGGGTGCGGAGTCTGCGCTGGGTGGTTGACGATTTCCGAGTCTTAGGCTGAGACGACGGGATGTCCGGAGTAGCAGGTCTCTTCTTGGAGGTGGCCGACTTCGTCCCACGCCTCTCCTCCGAGGGAAACTCCAGCGGAACACCAGACGGAAGGGGGTCGTCAGACAGCAGTTGACTGGTGAGGAACTCCGCTGATTTATCCATGACTTGATCAACCCGTCTAGACCTATCTGCAGCACGTCTAAGGACGCAAAGAAGGTATTTATTTAATGCACAAGTAGTTAAATGCTTGCAATTAATGCAGCGGGAGCTGAAAGAACATGGTACCGTGCAGCTAGGGCACAATTGATGAGGGTCAGCAGCAGAGAAACGTAATCTACAATTGGAACAATTTTTCATGAACGTAAACAACTGAACAAACACGGACTAACCCGTGAATAAACATGAAACCATATTGTTGAAGTATACTAGCTAAACCTCTATAATAGTATAATAGAGGTGACTAGCTAAGTAATAAAAGGATATAGTGTCGTATAAGAGACACAGGCGCTCTCACAACCTGCTCACAGGGCAAAGGAGAGAGTGAAGCGTGGGAAAACAGTGGCGCCACTTTTCCCGCCAAAACCGGAAACAGAGATAACTCTGGTGAGTAGCGATTTTACGTACGTTTTTATTGAAGGGAGCTTCAATAAAGAGATACAAGTGTTCCACTATGTTCGCAAGAGGAAGAAGACAAGCAAATAAGCATGAGTCAGGATAAGGAAAAATAGGAAATATTCTTGCAGTAGTAATAGTAACGTTTCCGTGATGATGATGATGATGATGATGATGATGATGATGATGATGATGATGATGACGACGACGACGATGATGATGATGATGATGAAAAAGGTGAAGACTTACTGCACCGCCCTCAAACTTGACGTAGCTGACGTTGATCTCGCCGATGATGACCAGGTACTGAGCACTCTCCTTGGGGAAGCGATGGCGGAAGTTGGCAAAGTGGCGGCCGTCGACGGAAATCTGTGGAGACGAAGGCACTTTGCTATTGTACCATACTTATGGTAATGCTGGTAAATCATGGTTTAATGCAAGCAGTTGTGGCTGGAACCACAAAATCCATCCCAAAAAGGTCAGGTGTTTTTGCAAATGCATAAGGCGAAACAAATTCTCTAAAACAATAGGCTGCTCCGTTAGGTAATATTACCACTACTCCACCAATGGAGTTAGTTGGAAGCTGGAGGTTGTGGTAAATTCTAGTGATCGCTGATCATTTTAACAGGTTGTTTATAAACTTGTCACTGGCAGCAGCTGATGTGTTTTGTACGGAAACCGCCACCTCCCAATGATGATTCACTTCACTTCTCTCATAAAGCAAAAGAAAATCGAATAAAAGTATGAAGGGCAACGTGTATAAATGTGATAAACTAACATGCTTGAATAATTTGTTCATATATTTTAGTGTCCTTCAACCAATGTGGTCAAGGGGATTACCTTGTAGTGTGTACGATGCGCCAGAATGATGATTTCAAATGGGGTCCCCTTCCGGAGTGGCATCCCCCGTCCCCGCTCCTCAAGTCCCCAGGCAACGCCCTGCTGGCAGTTCCGGACGATGGCGTTCTCGTTGAATCTCACGTTAAAGTGGAGGACAGTGTCACGCAAGGGGCTCATCTGGGGGTTCGCACTCAGGTTGATGGAGAATCTGTAACATTCAACACCAGCATCTGTATCACGTTAGTGTATGTTGCTAGTTGCTCTATTGCTTTATGTGGGCTGTATGTAGCTAGTCACTATCACATTTCTCTATGTAACTAGTTACTCTGTCACTGTCTGTGGCTTGTCTCTCTACCTCTGTATGTGGCTAGTCCCTCTACCTCTGTATGTGACTAGTCCCTCTACCTCTGTATGTGGCTAGTCCCTCTACCTCTGTATGTGACTAGTCCCTCTACCTCTTTTTGTGGCTAGTTCCTCTACCTCTGTAAGTGACTAGTTCCCCACCTCTGTAATTGACTAATCCCCTATCTCTGTATGTGGCTAGTCCCCTATCTCTGTATGTGGCTAGTCCCCTATCTCTGTATGTGACTAGTCCCCTATCTCTGTATGTGGCTAGTCCCCTATCTCTGTATGTGACTAGTCCCCTATCTCTGTATGTGGCTAGTCCCCTATCTCTGTATGTGGCTAATCCCCTATCTATGTATGTGGCTAGTCCCTCTGCCTGTGGCTAGCTGTTTTATCAGTGCCTGTTACTTCAGCAAAGCATATGCACAAGATGTATACATTTACATGTTTACACACTCACGCGTCCTGGTGATGATCACAGATGCCCTTTACTATTATCATCTTGCCATCCGGAAGTCCACCTGGGATGGGGCAGGCGTATGGAATGGTCTAAAATAACAAAATATCATCTTGAACCGCCAATATACATTACCTTCTTACCTTCCATTACCTAACTTACAAAACAAGTCACTGGAAGATTGTAGGACCCTGAACAAGGGTGACATGCAAGTTTGTGCATCTGTGCTACCTTCAGGTATACCGAATAAGTGTGAATTAGTAATTATGTGCAATTAAGGAAGATGCTGTGGACCCCTCAAGTGGGTTGGTGATCTCATGCAGAGAAAATAAGGAATTGGAATGGATCAATCGAGTGGGCTGGTAATCTCATACAGAGACAGTCAGGGGTTGGGTGGATTCCTCAAGTGAGTTGGTTATCTTATACAGAGCAAGTCAGGGATTGGGGTGAATTATTCAAAGGGTTTTTTTTAGTTTAAACATATTTTATTCACAATGTGAAAAGGATCGGGGACAAATTCTTTCAACTTATTAAACCCCTCTCCGAAGATATTTACAATAACTAATTACATCACAAGCAATTATTAGAAACAGAGACAGAGAAAGATAACAGGGGGAAATGCTATAATACAAAAGGTCTATGGAGAGAAGACTACTGGAATCGTTTAGATTTGCATATATATTGATGTACATTTTTTAATATAATTTCTATGATTTGTCAGATCTGCAATCCCGTTTGAAATAACAGATAATGTAATCACAGAATTACTACCACATACATCTTGAATAGCTTTAAGCATGATCTTTCTATGTTGATTGTATAAAGAACATTGGGGTTGGTATCTCATACAGAGGCAGTGAGGGATTGGGGTGGGTTATTTAAGTGGGTAGGTGATATTATAGAGACACAGCAAGTCAGGGATTGGGTGGATCCCTCAAGTGGGTTGGTTATCTTATACAGAGCAAGTCAGGGATTGGGGTGGATTATTTCAAAGGGGTTGGTATCTCATACAGAGACAGTCAGGGATTAGGGTGGATCCCTCAAGTGGGTTGGTGAAGAGAGCGTCGGGGATTGGACTGCATTGCTGAAGTTGGCTCCTGATCTCATACAGAGAACGTCAGGGAATGGGATGGATCCCTCAAGAGGGTTGGTGATCTCATACAGAGAAGGTGTCACGTATTAGGAACATCCCTCAAGAGGGTTGGTGATCTCATACAGAGAAGGTGTCACGTATTAGGAACATCCCTCAAGAGGGTTGGTGATCTCATACAGAAAAAGTGTCACGTATTGGGAAGATCCCTCAAGTGGGTTGGTGATCTCATACAGAAAAGGTGTCACGTATTAGGAACATCCCTCAAGAGGGTTGGTGATCTCATACAGAGAAGGTGTCACGTATTAGGAACATCCCTCAAGAGGGTTGGTGATCTCATACAGAGAAGGTGTCACGTATTGGGAAGATCCCTCAAGTGGGATGTAATCTCATACATAGACAGTCAGGGATTGGGGTGGATCACTCAAGTGGGCTGGTGATCTCATACAGAGACAGTCAGGGATATGGTGGATCCCTCAAGTGGGATGTGATCTTATACAGAACAAGTCAGGGATTGGGGTGGATCCCTCAAGTGGGTTGGTGATCTCATACAGGGAAAGGCAGGGATTGGGTAGATACCTCAAGAAGGATTGATATCTTATATAGAGAACGTCAGGGATCGGGCTGGTATCAAGTGGGTTGGTATCCCTCAAGTTGCAAAGTGATCGCATACAGAAAAAAATCAGAATTGGTCTGGATCTCTCAAAGTTGGTGCTGATTTCCAAGGGAAGACATGATCAAACACCTATGTCTACAGAAAGTTGAAGGAATAAAAGTATTTCTTTTCCTGTCTTGACAAAACATTTTCCATCTTCATATAACCTACTGTAGCATCTAAACACTTCTGACAAATTTCACACCTCCATTAGATCTATTCACACATGTTGAAGCTTTCGAACTACTTCATTATTCGGAACAACCTTTTTCTACTGCCTATTTCACAATTGCCTCATGCTTTAAAATATATATCCTCTTTGTAATAACGATCCCTGTTGCAAACAAAATCATGACAAGCTTATCGTTTCATTCAAGTTATAACAATGATTACTCACAAGGAACTTGAGTGATTTTTGTTGGTATAACATTCTCAGTTGACTATGATAAGATGGTAAAACGTAATTTTGCAAGTAAAATATATGAAATTGAGCCAATAATTAAACAATGGATGAAAAGAATTATTACTCCATTAGGGAAAAGAGCTATTATTAAGTCATTACTGATTTCAAAGTTAAATTCCTTGGTAAGATTACAGAATACCGGATACCTTCCTAACCCTAGGGTTAGGGTAAGGTTTAGGGTTAGGGTTAGGGCAAGGTTAAGAGTAAGGTTTAGGGCTCGGGTTAGGGCAAGGTTTAGGGTTAGGGTTAGGGTAAGGTTTACGGTTCGGGTTAGGGTAATGGTTAGGGTTAGGGTGACGTGACATTAAACAATATGGTTGGTATGTATCCGGTATTCTGTAAGTGTACCCGTTGATGCACTGAAGTTCCTGTTTCTTATTCTACCAAATCCACCAGGAGACTTCCTTAAAACGCTCCAAATTGCATTCTCTATATTTGACTTGAGCTAAATTTCATATCTTAAATGTAAACTTACAAATCGAATACTGCATTTATCTCTATTTAAAAAGAAGATAGAATCAGAGTGACAACAAGCCAGATAGAATTACAAAGAACTGAAGCATTGGCAATGTAAACCTGTTGTAGAAGGGGATTAGGAATGATTATATATTTGCTTACGTTGATGCACTGAAGTTGACGTGGATACGGAAATTGTTTAATGATTCTGACAAAAATTTGAAACACCTGCTACTTACTACTGTTCCAAATTATTACAATTTGGAGCATTTTGAAAATGATTCTGCAAATATGATGTTAGCAAATGATACTCCTAATATGTTTTGGTGATGTAGAGAACGTGGGTCTTTTTGGAAGGTAGTGGATAATGCTGAAATGTTCACATGCTTCCAGAATTATGCTCCATTGTGATCCAGTGTTATTTGGTTTTTCAGAATCCTTCCACAGTGATGCTATATTTGACTTGATAATAGCTAAATTTCATATCTATAAATGTAAACTTACAAATCGAATACTGCATTTATCTCTATTTAAAAAAGAATTGAACTATTACCGCAACATAGATAGAATCAGATATTATAGCAAAGCTAGATTTCAGGAATACCAAACAAATGGAAACAATGTAAAAATCATTTTCAGTAGGAAACATTGGCAATGTGAATCAATTTATTTCTGTATTAATATATACAGTATAGTATGGCTGAGTGAGCGAATGTTATATCTATGTGTAAATAAAACCAAAAAAATCGGATAAGTCCAGCTTTATACGTCTTTTCTTACATTGTACACGTCTTTTATTCAGAGAATATAAAATTGACGTAGCACAACGTCAGGCAACAACGTTGTGACAACGTAGATGGGAGAAAACTGTTAGAATTGAAGAATCTGTCAACATATTTACATATTGTTTTTGAAAAGTTAATATGGCTTAGGTTACTGATATCAATTTATATAAAAGAGGTATATTTCTATTCTATTGTACCACCGTGAGTGGGTTTTGAGAAATAAACTTTGAATTGAAATAGAACGTACCGGGTTCACAACAGTTCCTCCAGCGTATGCCATGATGTCGGTGTGAGATGTCAAGCTTTCTTGCGACTAAATGCGGTAACCTCCGAAACAAGCGAGTCCACCAGCCGAAGTGATCACAAGATACACTGTCAACACACGGAAGTCTACACAGGTAAGTCTTTGACAACCTGTTCTTATATACTCGATAAGTATGATTCAACGGAAGTGAATCACAGTCGCAGTGGATATGCGCGAAGATGTCTAGGTAATATGACGATTACCGACCGTGATCTGAGCAGGGGTTCTCATGGAAAGCTCGTCAGAACGTACAGTGTTCTCCAAGTCGGTTCTGAAGAATAGGGCCAAGTCTGTGTAGTAATTCTGTCCTTAGAATCGGCAAGTCTAAGGACGACGGTAGGGCCTGTTCTTAGATATTCTATAAATTATGGTTCAAACACCAATGTCATCGTAGGCAAGTCTGTTTTTAGAACCTGGACCAGATGAATAGGTAAAAGTTAAAGATGAAAGCTATATAACCTTGTGAAAGAGCAAGAGTGGCAGAGACAGTGCGCACCAGTCACGTGGCCGGTTTTCATTTGTGAATATATTCCATGTGCGCGTTTGCAATTCATGATCTATCTCGGTTTTAGACCCGTGAATATCCGGGTTAGAAATGCTCGTTGTGAGAGGCGACTCTTCTTCGCTCCTCAACGCCTCCTTAACTAGTTGTCACTGAAAGGAACAAATACATTCTCATATTCCGGGTGTGTGTACGTATGTGAGTTCATGCGAGTAAGTGGTGGCGGATGTAGTTCAAAACTCAAATAAAGTTTCCATATCCTTCTTCATGACCTTTATACCCTGAATCAACATCAACGGGTCTATCCCCATCGCTCCTACTGCCACTCCGATAACTGATTTGGATAAGTCCCCCCTAGAATAGCCTGGAGAAGCCTGGGTGAACATTTGGTATCTCTTCGGCTATCTAATAAAGTAAAACAATCGCTCCCTACTCCCTCTTCAAATTACATACTGCCAGTAGGCACCCTACAAGATAGAGGGTCTCTCTATGAAAAGTACCACTAAAGAAATAACTTGAAGTTTGGGTGGCTCATTTGGGAGCCTAGCATGTTTCGCATCAAAATACTTTATAGTACGGACTGAAACTGGTATTATCTCCTTCCTTATCCATTTGACTATCTAATAAAGTAACAGGAGTCGCTCCCTACTCCCTCTTCAAAGGAACATAGGTACCATACATCATGGGGGTTCTCTATGCAAAGCGTCACTGTGGATATAGCTTGATGTTTGGGTTGCACATTTGGGAGTCAGGTATTTTTCGCATCCAAATGATTTAAAATACAGGTTGGAAATAGTATTATCTTCTTCCTTTTCCATTTGGTTATCTATTACAGTAAAATGGGTCGTTCCTTAACCCCTCATCGAAGTTACATGGGTACCCTTCATCAATGGTATTATCTTCTTAATAAAACATATCCATTTGGCAAACTAATGCAGTAAAATGAGTTGCTCCCTGCCCCCACTTCAAAGGAACATAGGTATCATAGATCATGGGGGTTCTCTATGCAAAGGGGGCGGTGTGGTAGCCTAGTGGTTAAAGCGTTCGTTCGTCACGCCGAAAACCCGGGTTTGATTCCCCACATGGGTATGATGTGTGAAGCTCATTTCTGGTGTCCCCCGCCGTGATATTGCTGGAATATTGCTGCGGCGTAAAACCAAACTCACTCACTCACTCTCTATGCAAAGCGTCACTAAAGATAGGCCTATAATTTGAAGTTTGGGTGGCACATTTGGGAAACTTGTGTTTTTTCGCATCCAAATACTAGTACTTTAAATAATCTGTTCCCGTATCTGTTTGGCTATCCTTACATTATCACGGCATTGTTTCGTCCGGTGGATACCAAGGTACTATTTGCCATGGTATCAATGACTTGTTTTCACACGTGTTTTGTTGTTGGAAACCAAGACTCAATCGTAAATTGTATTTGTATAAAGGACTGCCCGACTGCAAGCTAGCTGCATGAAATCTCGGGTACTTTTTCCCCGGGAAAAGATCGCCACAATAGTCTCAGGTAGAAGTATAATCGTATTTTCCAAAATGATCACGCTCGTTTGCGCCCACTGCTTTCTCGTCATAAAAGGTTTTGTACCAGATACAAGTCACACCTAAAATTTTAATAATACAGCGTGACTTTGCTGTTCGTAACACTCTAAAGATCGTGTATGCTACATTGTTGGTAGGATATATTTACGAAAAGATAAAGCAACGAAAACGTGACATGAACTTGGTGTCACATGATTGTAATTATAATGACAATATTTCAAATCTTCAGCAGTTATCAAGTGCGTCAAAATCTCTTCCATAATCATAATAGATATCTCCCACACTACGCGTTGTCACCCACTCAGGAATGTATCACATTCAAACAACCATTGCTGACACAGCTTCTCGGGGACCTGTGCGAGGATCCTGGGGACAGCCTGAAACTCCGGCCTTGAAAAGTCGGCCACCGGGTACTACTAAAACTGGATTGCAAAATATTTTAACGAAACCTGCACATCGGGGTAGATACGCTTCCTTCCTTAAAAATTGTATAGTTTGATTGAAAATGTATATTTAACTATGATGTATCAGGAATTGTGTCTATATCCATATAGATTAGTGCTATATTTACGACTCTCAAAGTTTCAAAGCGTAAGCAAACACTTTGCTCAAAGTGAAGCCCTCTTGTCTATATTCTCCGAGTGTAGCGTAGAAAAGCCACCGTGTTGTTATGTGTTTTCTTGGTTATCTCCCATTCTTCAGACAGCCATTCTTCAGACAGCTTAAAACAACAACATTTACGGTCTAATGCACATCAGTCGAGAAAGCTGTTACCTTTGATAGAGAAAAGGAAGAACCCAGTTAAGTATTTCAATTGAGAAAGGGAACACAACCCCACTGACATATGTTTGTATATAATTTCTTCATATCATAGCATCATGTTGTCATGAATAACATGTAATGAAATCCTCAAAGACTTCAGGATATTTATTGCAGACACGGCTTGAATCACTGACTCTATCAAACAAATGTTTCTATTACAAAGCTTTTAAGATAAGCGCAAATCCGAGTTGCATTATCACGTTTTTGATGTTCATCTCATGATTTTTTTATAGAAACTGGACCCTATACTTACATTAATCGACAAGAGAGACAAGGCCAACTATGTGATTTAAATACTGTCGAGGACGAGTACCATTTCTTTCTTGTTTGTCCGCTGTACTCAGATCTTAGAAGAAAATATTTACCAAATCATGTTTATAGATATCCAAACGTTATTAAATTTATATCATTAAGTACAAACATTTAAGTACTTCAGAATTTATTAATGTTTATATTCCATGCAACATTGCAAGAAAGAAAAATAATAATATTTGAAAATCGGGGGATATAAATATATGTATGTTTATGTACTATAGGCCTGTGGCCTCTTCAGGACGGAGTAAAAGGTTGAATCTCGTTTAAAAATCTCTCTACTCTCCTGAGCACTAAGTAGGCTATTTAACATGTTTAAACTGTTCCATTATTGCTGTGGGGTGAGAGTAAATTAATCCCTCTACTCAAGTGTCTGAAGAATGACTGAGAATGGGAGGACACCGTTTTCTTTGCTATGTCTATGTGAGAAGGTCACTTATTTTTCTTAGCTTGTGACGTGTGACGTGTGCCGTGTGATATTTGGGACAGCAAGTGACGGTGTTTTGACTTCTTTCTTTCCTTAATTAAAATATTAATACCTTTATTGCCTCATGCTGTATCAGCAAATGTTGTTTATGTTGATGCGAAGTTTATATTGGCGAATGACAGTGGGCAAATATGACATGTTTTATAATAGATTAAAGCTCTTACAGCTTTGTTAATTTACCAGAGTTACACATGAAAGGCAAAATGGTATTATATCTACCTAAATACCACTTCATAGGGTCTTATTGCATAGTATTTGAAGTAAACACGTTGCTCAATGTGAAGCCCTCTTTTCTATATTCCCAACGTTGTTGCTATATCACGAATCCAGGATCTTTGCCCACAAGAGCTCTGTCCACCACAATGTTTACAGGGGAGGACACAAGCATACAGGTATCCTCCCAGATCACCTAATTTGTCCCCACAGGGTACCAAGGTACAATGAGGTGATGTGGCTATGTCATGCGTGGATGGGTTTTATGGTAAAACAAACAGGGCATCAGTATATTTTTTACTCTTTGGGATTTGGCTTTATGTGGGAACAACAGCAAAAATTATATAATGTTGATAATTTCATATCAGAATTTGCTTTTAGATTAAAAGTAAACTATGAACAAGAATGGCACACATCACTTGTAAATAGTCCTAAATTTTCACTTTATTCTTGTTTTAAATTCACATTTGATGTTGAATTTTACATAAAAGATTTAACGGTTTCAAAATTCCGATCGGCCCTTACTAAATTCAGATGTTCTTCACACCGCCTCCAAATTGAAACCGGTCGATACATTTATCAACCAAAATTAAATAGATTAGGGTTTGTAAAATTAAGTTTGTTGAAAATTAATTTCATTTTTTGTTGGTATGTAAATGTTATCAAAATCTAAATTCTATTCAAATTCCACTATTCATAAGTTTAATATTGATTTATTATGAAAATGCCACGTAAGAAAAGTTCTTGAAAACATATATCCCTTAGTTAGCTCATGTACAAGATTCCTGATATTTTCACATTCAGAACTTAATTTCCAGTTTCTGTAAGCAGGGGCGGTACGTGTGGCCTAATGGTTAAACTGTCCGCTTGTAACACTGAAGACCTGGGTTCGATTTCCCACATGGGTACAATGTGTGAAGCCAATTTCTGGTGTCCTCTGAAGTGATATTGCTGGAATATTGCTAAATGTGACGTAAAACAATTCTCACTCACTCATTCAAGTGTGTAAGTGACCAGAATGGTTATACATTGTGCTTCTCTTGCAGCCTGTGCCTTTCATAACCAGTATCCAAGGTGGGATGTGCCCTGGCCTCATACTGTACATCAGTGGAATCCTCAATCCTAATGTGTCCCGGTGAGTGTACATCTTGAGTGATTGAGTAAGTTTAGTTTTACACCGCACTCAGCAATATTCCAGCTATGTGGCGGCGGTCTGTAAATAATCGGTCTGGACCAGACAATCCAGTGATCAACAGCATGAGCATCGATCTGCGCAATTGGGAACCGATGACATGTGTCAACTAAGCCAGCGAGCCTGAGCAACCAATCCCGTATACACCTTGATATGTAGCACTCTACAGTAAAGGGGAGGTGGGGATGACCTAGGGTACACCATCCGATAATGTCTTGCTAAAAGTGAATTTATACAGTAGAGCTGACTAACTCAGTGAATGCACTGACCACTTTGCACAGTAGTAGAGATTCCCATCCTAATGTCTTCAGTAAATCTACACCCTGATGACGTGGCACACCAGTGGACCAAGTAAGCCCTCTGGTTGGTTGATGCTTGTTAAGGGGACATTTACACCTGATGCTTTCTTTTCGGAAGCCATTACTAGAAAAAAGAATCTTACATTTCCATGTCAAGCAGTCGATGAAAGTAAACATTCCCGCGAATTTATAAAGAATGTGCAGATTTACAGGCGTTGACCAACCAGAGGGCTTGCTTCGACCACACACCCGTTTTGCGCGGATATTTCGTCATCCATTTGTGTCAAGATCGTTTAGTTGAGAGTCAAAATTGGGTTTCAATCGACTTGCAGAAATAGCAATAAAGAATTGGTAGGTGTCATGGGTGGTGCTTGATAGGGCAACCATCCACAATTATGTTTACATCAAGTTTTAATCGATTGCATGCGATGGTAGAGTAGCGATGGGAAAAGCAGGCGGGTGGGGTACACCGAAGTGTCCGGCCTTGTCATTATGAATTGTACCGTGAAGCATTTCGAGTCGGGGGTCATCTCAAATTTTAATGCATTTTAAATAAAAAATGTAATCCTCGCAAAGACACGAGGGCATCTTAATAACTTCAATAAATCTATACCTTGATGACGTGCCACACTAGTAAAGACTCCCATCCTAACGTTTTCAGTATATCAGTGACGCCCATACATCGCAGTGGAACCACCACGATTCCGACGGCCTCCGCACCAACAACCATCTGGAAGAGATTGGTGGGAAGGCCCACCGCAATATTTTTTGAAATAATCAAATTTCTTGCTAAGGAGCAGATTCACACTGAAGTCCGCCTGTTGCAGTTTGACGGTAAACAAACACGTCCATTGAAGAAAAATAAATACAGGGACTTGGAACGTCGTCTGTATGTCCTAAAACATGATCTAAGGAGTGGGCAAATCAGTACCAGAGAGTTTGCAGATGCTGCATCTCACCTACTTCATGTGGGATGATTTTGTATACGAAATATAATGGACGAGCTGTCTGTGCTCTCAACCGCATAACCCGGATTATCACCTTCTCTTTTTAAATCCCCTGTTAATTGGTATAAGGTCAAATGAACAGGACGTCGACCTCTTTTCTTAACTGTGCAGGCACTGATCCATCCACTTAGCAGAGTTCACTTCCTGAACATCGTCGGCGACGTACGCCTGACATCCGTCAAGATTCAGTAGGTCAGCTGACCACGCGACGAGGGGACTCCGGAGGAGTGGACACCGGCTAAACATCACTCTGCCGGACAGTCCGAACAACTCTTTAGTTGACTGCTGAAGATGCTTGTTTCCTGTCCTCCATGATGTTTCTAGCTTGGTTTAAATGCAATAATCAACAAATGGCATCAAATGTAACTTATCATCTGATTTGATTTGTTATTGGCTTAAATCAATATTACTTAAGTCGCGTAGAAATATATTATTGAAGACAAGGGGAATGTTATAAACTTGGAGTTGTTATAGTTCAAATGGTGCTCAAAGGTTTCTGGACATAAATGGTATCTGGTTCACCAAAGGATGGCGTCATGATACTTCTTTTGTTCGTTTGTTAATGAAATCTTGTTTGTGTATGTTAGTTATCATGTGTGTTGTATTCAGGGGGTAACTGTTCTGTCTTCAGTAACTGCATTCCCTGATCTATTTCTGTGACGTTTGTAGGTTTTTCTTAGCAATATTTGTTTTGTACAATTATTCCTAAGAAATATGTTGCCTTGTTCCTACAATGGACTTAATCAGGTGTAATATTGCATTACTGTTAACTAGGACTTACAGTTACCTAATATTTAAAATGTACAACAAAGTACCCAGGCCATACATTGTGACATACCAATGACTTACATGATCATACATTGTACAAGAGAGTTAAATTGCACAAGAGAGTTATCTAGGACTTACATTGTATGACAGACTTCACTGCTTCACCAAGGTTGGTTGGTTTGTTGTTTAACATCACACTCAGCAATAATCCAGCTATATGGCGGCAGTCTGTAAATAATCCAGTTTGGACACGGCAATCCAGTGATCAACAGCTTGAGCATCGGACTGTACACCATAGTTACCAGACACTTACATTCTACCACAGAGGTACCTAGTTACCACAGGTTGTCTCGCTTTAAGTCATGCGTGCTATTGTAGCGTAGGATGTTTGGTACTGTCAGTTTACTGACATGTATTTATCTGTTATTATATAACAAAGGGCCTTGTGTCATCGTTGTGTTCACAAGGGAGGAAGTCACAGTCAGCCGCACATTCACACTATAGTTTTCACTAGCAATACTAAAGGAATTTCATGGTTTTCATAATATAATTCATTAAATATTTCTTATAAAAATTTGATCAATTTCTGTGATACAGTCATCTGAACAGGATTTTTCTTCATAAAGTGCCATTGATTTCTGATTTATAGTGTAAATCGGTTTTCAAGAACGTTACTGTGTTATTCTCTGTACAAGAACGTTACATGGACCATATAGCATGCACCAGATCCATATCTTTCTTCTTTAAATCATCATCTATGTTGATTTGTTTTTCTTAGTAAAGATTTTATTTATACCACAATTATGTTCACATTGTAGTTGAAGTGGGTGAAATTATATGTTCAAGGCATTGTATGTTGCATTTCTACAAAACTGATGTGGTGTACAGTTCTTGTTTGCATCATTATATTTTCACCTTTCATGTGTTTGTTTTTTATGTTCTAATCACATATTACATCAGTAATAAATGACTAATTTCCTGCTGCACCAAACATGACTTATGTTTTCTCTTTAGTACTCGGACCCCTGTCATATAGCTGGAACATTGCTCAGTGTAGCATTAAACAACATTCAGCAAACAATTTAGTATCTTGGGACTGAAGAGTCATTGTATTCTTGTACCTGTTTTGATTTTATTAATCTTGTGAAACATTAGATGAAGTGAACTGAGAACAATTTTGAAAGTTTTATGAAATGATTTTGCTTTTGAATTTAAAGTTCAGTTCGTTTTACAGTTACCTGTTTCAAAACTGTTTTGGTTTGCTGTTTGCTGTGCAGACAGATTTGCGTCCCTTATATACTATCCCAAAAAAGAAACGCATAGGCGTTTTGTATTTTTAAAAATCTATCAATTACCTATTGTGTTTAAACAATCGTCAAAATATGTAACCAAAATGTTGCTAACATGATTTTACACAATTGCAGAAGTAAAAAATCGACTTTACTTGAAAATGTTGATTTTGATGAGATTTCTTACAAGGATTAATAAGGTATCACCACAACGCAGAAATCACCTTCCAGTTGAAACTGTGCAGCTAAAGACCATGCACTATCTGGCTATAAAAATCCAGATTACTTTCGAAAATATACATTCGTTTTGAAGGAGTTTCAAGGTCAAATCACTACGCCACGTCTTGACGCTGCGACACGGAACATCGCCATTGAAAGAATGCACGCTGGAGATTACCAATCTTCTGTTGCAAGGCGTCTGAATGTTAGTCTGAGCACGATATCGCAGCTCACAGCTCGTTACAACCAAACAGGTCTAACAAATGACTCTCCCCGTACAGGCACACCTCGGGTCACCACTGTAGCCTAAGATCGGTGCATCCGGGTACTACATTTGTGTGATCGTACTGCCACGGGTGAGAGCTAAGCAGCCAGGGTACCTGGGTCCCGTTCCTCAAAGTGATCGTAGCGCTACGACTGTCGTAAGTCTATGTTAAAGTATGGGAGTTACGATCACCTTAGCGCTACGATCGTTTTCAGGAACGGGGCTCTGGACTTCGGAGGACATCCGATCAAACTGTACGGAACAGGTTGAGAGAGATTGGACTGAGTGCCAGGAGATCCGACGTCGGGCCCGTGCTACGTCGTCACCAGGCATCTCAAAGTCTTCGTTATCTAAAATTATCAACTTGGTTGTATAGACATTTCCTTCTTCTAAACTCATGCAAAAATTCATTTCATAAGTTTATTTGTGGACGAGTGATACATGTTTGAAAATACAACATTTTCGCAACAGATTTCTGGGTTATGCGTTTCTTTTTTTGAATAGTATATATGCAAGATCTGCTTATTGTGAACACCAGATTCATCTGAACATGATACTTGGTCTGACAAGTGGACCCTCCAAAGTAGTAACCTCCCCTGAGTCACGTTTCTACCCACATTAAAGGCACAATGTCACACACTTTCGACAATATGTTGACCTATATAATATGCATTGTATGTATATTGTGGCATATGCACTCACTTTAAATAGCTTCCTGTTAATGCAACAAAAGAATTATTATGCCTTACGACTTGCCTGAAATCGATAACTGAAACTTGGAGGCGAACAGCTTCCAAACAGAGACCACTTGCCGTGTATGGAATGTAAACAATTGCTCCGTACATCGAAAACTGTCGCACGCGGTCTTGTCGGTGTTTGCCGAACTGGTTTCATTCAGACTTGTTTTGGAGATTGTACGTGCGCTTCTAACATTTTTAGGAAATATAATCAAAAATCGCTATAAGTTTTAAAACAATACTACATCTATTTATATATAACTAATTTAATCTTTATCATTGGGCTTTTATTTCTTTGGGAATATTTTAGTCTGACTTTTGAGGTGTCATTCATAATTGTTTCTAGAGTATTCTTTTTAAAATTCCATCAGGGGTTTGGCAGCAAGGTTACACGAATGTTCAGTTAGAGAAATATATAACTCATTTTCGAGTATCTGCTTTGGGGTTTATTGTAGCTGAAAAAGTGGTCATCTCTTATTTGCATATTCAATAAAAAAATTCCAGTTGTGATTCTTAAACCCTATTCAGAAATATATATTTGGAAACATAAGTTGAAGAGCTGGTAATAATTACGTAAACGTTACAATACGTCTTTAATAAATATGGTTTTCCCTTCTCTTAGTACTATTAAAGAGGGAAATTCTTTAAAATAAATGTTAAAACAAAAACAGCAATACAATGTGCGAGTGCTTCGGTAATATATAAGTACCATTGAAATCAAACACGAATAGAGTTATCGTTCTTGTATAAAGTAGTTCTGATGTTCATGCGCCAATATAAAAACCTTCCAGTAGGGGCACGAATCGCTCTTCGGCTTGTCCCGGAATAACACACGACCCACTCGTGTTAGTCTTGGTCACGAATGTACGGCATGATCAGATAACACCCACCTCAAGAGTCAAACACACACATTGCATATCTGAAAGTGAGTACTGATTCACTTCGTGAATTCGTCAAGCCTTTTATTTCCAATTTAATGTCAATATGTGTAACCACTGACATGCCACGCGGAGACACAGCTGGGTATTCTACGATTATTTATCACAGGTCAACATGCTTTTCTGTATTTTGAAAAGACATAAAATATGAAGATGCCTGGGACATGTATTCTGTAAGACTGCCACATTAGTAACTACTCGTGTCATTCCGGCAAGTCGGATGGCGACTCGTACCCCTCTATGGCCATGTTCACGACTGGGCCCTGTCTAAGCGCAAACGGGCACGGGGTGACCATTGAAACTCTCATGATAACGGTTGAAAATGTACTTTGCGCCCACACACACACACACTCACTCACTCACTCTCACACACACACACACACTCCACTCAACACACACACAAACACACACACATTGCTGTTGTTTGTTTTTTTAGTTTTTTAGCTTTGTTCTTTTGGTTTGGGTTTTGGGTTTTTTATTGTTTTATTGGGTTTTTGTTGTTGTTGCATAAACAGTGTTTGGGAACTAAAACCCCTGAAAAAGTCAACGCATGTCTAGTATCACAATAGTGATATGGTGCAGACAAACCAAGAAACGATGCCAGGTTGAACCCAGGTCGGTTTCAAACTCATGACCATTGGTTTACGTGCACCCCAAATGACCAAACGCATTCCTCCATCGCCGTAGTGATGAGAGCATCTCCATCTCAAATAACCCACAGCAGATTAACAAAAGCATGTTTCTGTACACGTGGTATCAGGCGTCATATAGCAGAGTGAGTGTGTGAGTTTATTTTTACACTGCACTCAGCAATATTCTTATATGGCGGCGGTCTGTTAATAATCGAGTCTGTACCAGACAATCCAGTGATCAACAGCATAAGCATCGTTCTTCTCAAATGGGATACGACGACATGTGTCAACCATGTCAGCGAGCCTGACCACCCGGTACCGTTGGTTGCCTCTAACGACAAGCTTGGGTTACTGAAGACTAATACTAACCCGGATCTTGACGGGCCGCCATATATCAGAAACTTCAGGTCATCAAGGATATGATGCTAAGACAATGCTAAGACAAGTGCACACATCAAATGGAATGTATTATTATGACGAAAAGGGTTGTACCATGGTGTTCTTAAACTGCAAAAAGAAGATACAGTGCTATTGTAATAGTTTATTAATCATTATGTACAAGAAAAAACACTCGATCAGGCAACAGTTGAAATATATACAAATATATTCCCAGGAACGACAGGATTATAAAAAAACCATCCGATCTGGCAACAGTTGAAAAAAAAATTCAAATATTTTTACTAGTGGAAAGACAGGATTTGTTTTAAAAATGGCTCAAGCGACAGCTCACGAATGTACATAACATTTCCAATGGTAACATGGTTTGCACTGGAATACATACATTTGGGTTCAGATGCAGCCCAATCGTAGATGGTGTTTCACCATAGTTGTGATCTAATCTTATAGAACACTACCAAGTTTGATCAAACCTCCGATATTGCAACAGAACTTGTGTTTACTGCAAGCATGAGCCACAATTCACAACCTGAAGAATCACATCAAGTTTGGCCACCATTTTAGTCGCCTTTTACAACAAGCATGGGGTACTGGGGATCTTTTTGTAATAGAAATCCGATAGATCCGTAATATGCGTTATCAATGATCACATGGGGAAGGCACAGTAAGGCGCAGAATTGTCGGTCTGTGATTTTTGAATGGTTTTATCAGGAATTTCAAATTTTAGAAATAATCTAGAACAAGAAACGTTTGTTGTTGACAATCATTTGGCTTTCACAGAGGATATTTGAAGCGAATATCCGGACAATAACCCAAATGAAAAAGGCACCTTTTTAATCTTATTTCTTTGGTGTCGGCATTCGTCACCACTCGCCCTTTCCGTAACCTCCCAAGAAGACTCGTCCCCGTCTTGAGGCTTCTTATGTGCGTTTGTTTACATAATGGCTGTCATAGGCCCAATTGCGTATATTTCTGACGATCTTGGAGGCTTGTTTTGGAGATTGTAGGGGCGCTTCTAACGTTTTTAATAACTATAATTATAAATCGCTAAGAGTTTTTAAAAAATAATATTACATCTGTATATAAATAATTAATTCTTTATCAATGGGCTTATATTTCACATCTTTAGGGATATGTTAGTCTGACTTTTGAGGGGTCATTCATTATTGTTTTAGAGTATTCCACCACGGGTATGGGAGCAAGGCTGCAGGAATTTTAAAGTCACTTTTGAGTATCTGCTTTGGGATTTATTGTAGCTGAAAAAAGGGTTATTTTATATGCATATTCAATAATAACTCCCATTTGTGACTCTTAACCCCTATTTAGGAATATACATTTGGAAAAATAAGTTGAAGAGCTGGTAATAATTACGTTACAGTATGTTTTTAAAGATAACATTTACTCTAAGGGGTACAACTACATAAATCATTTATTGGCATCGTACTCATATACGGTTTTCCTTTCTTTTAGTTCCATTAAAGAGGTTTAAACACGAATATCGTTCTCGTTCTAAGCAGTTCCTATGTTCACACGCCAATATGAAATCCTTCAAAATGGGCACGAGTCGCTATTCGGCTTGTCCCGGAATAAAACAAGTTGGTCAGGATTGATATGTGTGGCGTCCGTTTCAATCCACCAGGGGGCGTCCATCTTCCGGAGTCCAGTTCCGGCCGGATCCTGGTCAGTGTCTGGTGGCTGTACAATATTGTGAAGAGCGCGGCCTACAGCGGCAGTACATAAACGCCTTGTTTCTTCAGTTCATTTTGGAATCGCGAGCTGACAACATAGAGGAACCACTTTGCAAGTGACATGCATGTGTCTGATATGGTCTTCCTGCAAGACCTTGATCAGGCAAACGTATACACAGGGATATCGAAGTAAAACTAAAGTCCAAACTTCAGTCCTTGTGGTGCTGTTATGTTGTTGTTGTGTCTGTTGTTTCAAGTGATTTTGAGCTAGGAATTCATTTGCAATTCTGATGGTGCATTCGACGGATAAGTAAAATTTACACAAATACAGGCCATGCAAAATTCTAAAGAAGTTTATATAAACTATAACATTGTTTACTACCTTAGCCCACTGGAATCTCTGGATTCGGAGAGTAGAATCAACTGGCCACCTCATACCGGTGTGAGGTTCCACGGTTTTGTTATCATTTTGTTATCTTGCTTTACGTTGTTCTCATTCCCCAAACGTGCCGTGGATGGCCAAGTGGAGCGTTTTCTCGTCACGCCGAAGACCCGGGTTCCATTCCAACATGGGTGCAATGTGTGAAGCACATTTCTGTGTCCTCCGCCGTGATATTGATGGAACCTTGCTGAAAGGCAGCGTAAAACTAAACTCACTACCCCCTACCACTGACGACTGACGAATTTGAGATACACGGTCATGCCAAAGGGATGTATATTTCTGACATTATATCATATTTTTTCTCATTCGTCATGTTTTGCCACAGCTTTTGGTGTTATTTCCTCATCTATGGACGAACGCAGACACCATGAAGTGTTTTAACAAAATTTCTGAATTCTTTTTCGGGAACGGCATAATTGCAAGAAACACCGAGTTTAAGGACTTTAAAATGTCCCTTTGAATCTCTTCAAATGATATGCAATTGTATTCTTTATGACAATCCTGAGAGCACCAGGGAGCGCCTACGCACAGACATATACTGACACACATGCGTTTGTACGCACGCTTTTACCCACATTCCAACAACACACACCACACCACACCACATTGTACACCACACCACATTCAAACCAGTCAGGCGACACAACGAGTAACCATAAACCCCAAGATGAAGATTTGTGTTTGTATACTACGGTCTATTACATGCTGTCACGTTAGTTGCGTTCCCCCGTTTTACTGCGGCCCACGAGTAGTTTCTCATGAGTACCGTGACTGCCGTGGCAAACTTTTCACGAACAATTTCCCCCGTTTTCTGGCACGAGCATCCACGGCACTCAGTGGCACTCACGGACTGTCACGTTTGCTTATTCAGTCCCCCCACGTTGTCTCACGTTCATCCCGCTTTGTCCCCGTTTCATGCACTACGTTTCGGCGAAACGGGGTTGGTCAAGTAGCTTATGGGATTCCGTGAAAGTTTTTGATGAAAGCAAATCATATATTCTTTTGTGTTTATATGTTAAAGGAGTTTAGAAAATTGTTTGGTTCCAATCTGAATATTAATGCGAAAGCTATTTTTAGCTCCAAATCCAAGATGGTCGCCGAAATTTAACCGGGAACTGAAAAATTTGCATAAACCCGTAACAAAACAATGGTTTTAACATCAAATACCATGCATATTTGGTTAAGGAAATACTTCTCATATGCTATAAGTCACTAGATCTTTTTAGTTTGCTTTTAGTCTTAAATTTACATAAAAGAGTTATATTTAGCTCTAAAAGTCATAATGATGAATAAAAAAACCATTTCTTCACAAAGCGTATCTTTTATATAGAACTAGTACAATATGAAAAAGGAATATACTTCTTATCTTGTTTATCAACTATAGAAGAGGTCTTTACATGAAACTGCGATCCAGAAATATACTCTTCAAGAAGGAAACGCATAAGCCATTTCTAGAAGAATTTCATGCGTGAGTTTAAGAGCAATTATTTCATTTAATCCCAACAGTAAAAGGGTGGATATTCAAACGTCTATAGACAAAGCCTTTACTGTTGTGTTTCTGTTTACTTGAGTCCATAAGATGGCGTCAAAGTCAGTACTTTGTATGGCCACCATTGGCAGCAGTTACTGCTCGGCACAGACTGGATAAGTTGACGAAGTAGCTCTTATCATCGTAGGCGACTTCAATTTCCATTTTGACAACAAGGATAACCATGGCACTAAACGAATACTTAATCTTCTTGAAGTCCACAACTGTGTACAACTCGTGTAAGAAGCAAGCCACAGAGGTGGACACTCTCTGGACTGGATAGTTACCCGTGCTTCAGACGCGTGTGTCAGTTGTGTATATGTAGAGGATCTACAGCTGATCATTTCCATATCTTTGAGAGCTTGGACCTCTCAATACCCAGTCCAAATGTGAAGATTACGCGCTGTAGGAACATGCGCTACCTGGATAAGGATACTTTTATCAGCTCAGCTCAGCTCAGCTCAGACCTTATACTTGAGCCAACATCTGATGCTGAGAGGTCTCTTTCTGCTATACAATAGAGTTCTGTCTGAGCTGCTAGACAAACATGCACCAGTGAAGGACAGAGTCATACCAGTCACTAAAACATCTGCTTGGGACTTCACACCTGAAGTTCGACAAGCGAAAAAAGACAAGAGGAAAGCAAAACGCAGATGGAACAAATCTTTCTTGGAGATTCATCGCCAAATGTATATTTCAGCCAGATATCACTCAACAACTGTCATCAGACAAATCAACATCTCAATTCTAAGATTGAAGCCAACGAGTCAAGTCCAAAGTTGCTGGTCAAACTTTTGTTCAGTATCTTGGGTAAACACTGGGAATCGCCACTTCCGACATCTGATGACAATGAAGCAACTGCACAGACATTTTCGGATTATTTCTACAAAAAGATCCAAGACATTCATGACAAGATTCCGTCTTCTCTGGCTGTGGATGAAGCTGATTTTCCTCCAAAAATGTTTGATGGCACACCTCTTACTCATGGGGATAGTTACACTGACTCTAAAGTTACTAAACTACTTAAATATTAGAAAAAACATCAACTTGTTCACTTGATCCGATTCCAACTGACCTTCTATATGACTGTCTCTACGTACTCTTACCAACAATAGTGCGGATTATTAACTCTTCTACTTCATCTGGTTATGTCCCAAGTGTACTCAAGTCAGCTCTAGCTAAGCCACATCTGATGAAATCAAGCCTTGATTGTGAGGATCAAAAAAGCTACAGGCCTGTTTCAAACTTAGCTATATATCCAAGCTCATTGAACGTGCAGTCTCCAGTCGTCTCATGGGCCACCTTTCCTGGCATAACCTCTATGAGGTGTTCCAATCAGCCTACGGAGCACACCACACCACAGAGACGGCTCTGCTAAGGATCCTGAATGACCTACAATGTGGTATTGACACAGGACAAGTGGCTATGCTCATATTACTTAACCTAAGCAGTGCCTTTGACACGATTGATCACCAGAGACTCCTCAAATGACTTGATATACAGAGCTTGGAATTCAGCTTTATTCTAGTTGGCATTTTATCTACAGGACAGGACTCAAACCGAAATGTGTCAACCGCATCTAGGCTTGAGTTCGGAGTCCCTCAAGTATCGGTGCTTGATCCTCTTCACCCTCTAAACTGTTCCACTTGGCTCTGTTGTAGCAGACCACAATCTTGACCACTTCTACGCAGATGACACGCAGATGTGGTAGTTATTTCAACTGAACACAGAGTCAGCTAGAACGTCTCTCCGTCAGACATCCGACTGTTGCCAGAAAATATTCATGGATGTCATCAAATGCCTTGAAATTAAACTAAGAGAAAACAGAGTCCATTCTTCTTGGACAGGCTGGGAAATGCAAGCAATGTGACATTACCAGTGTGTCTGTCTGTGGAGCAACCATTCCACTTTCTTCCACTGTCAGGGATCTGGGTGTTGTCATCGATCAATATCTCAGTATGACAAAACACGTCAAGTATGTTACTTAAACTTGCTACTTCCATCTCCGCAATATCAGTAAGGCCAGACCGTTCTTACCAAAGATGCCTCCAAAACTCTCTGCCTCAGCCTAGTCACATCTCGTATGGACTACTGTAACAGCTTCTTGACCGGATGTCCAATCTTGTGTCACTGACCAACTCCAACGCATACCAAATTTAGCTGCTCGCATTACCTCCCAGATCTCCAGAAAACAGCACATCACACCAACTCTAAAGAACCCTCCATTGGCTGCCCGTGAAACACAGAATCTCCTTCAGACTCCTCTGTCTTGTATACCAGTGCATGACTAACATGGCTCCAGTCTACATCTCAAATCTTCTTCAAGCTTATGCACCATCTAGATCTCTGAGATCAGGGAATCAACACCTTCTTGCTATCCCCAAAGTCAAACAAGCTAAATATGGACACCTAGCCTTCTATGCCGCTGATAAAAAAAGATTTCTCCCCACATTTATTTGTATATATTTTTTTTCAAAGATTATAACCATTTTAGAATGATCCGATCCCATGACTTCAAAATTATTTCAAGGGATTTAATTGAGAGAGCGTGAAGCAGAAAATAGTGTTTTCTCCCCATCATTTCATTATATTCTTATCTATTTTCAAAGAACTCTGCTTTTAGAAGAAAAACTTTAAACGTATTAATAAGAAATCGATAAATCACTATCTGCTATTGACCAACTACATTTTGAAATAAGGACTGCTCCCTTACTGACAGTCTCACCAAACAGAATAAACATCTCTTTTTAGTTTCATACATAACTGTTCTTTCACTTTTATTAATAACATGATTTACATTGATTTGATAAACTGAAGCAATCATATACTTACAAAATGCACAAAACCTACATATGCTTAAATTCGTCTGCTAGCTGCCATTTTGAGAGAGGGAGTATTTATTATTTCTATTTTTTTAATTTAAAAAAATATCTTTTGGGGTTTTCTTTGGATAAAATATTTCATGAAATAGAAAATAACACCTGGATAAAGTTAATAACCTCAAACTTTAAATATTCAACTCTCCTATTATGACTTTCTGACTTTTTAGCAACCTTTTCCACAACCATTTTGTACAGTGCTCAAAAGTACTATTTGCACCATATTTCAACTTGGAACCAAACTTAATATTTAACTAGCATGCCTGATGAATACAAAAAAACACGATGTCTTGCTTTCATCACAAAACTTCCACGGCACATGAATCCTGTACCCATCCTACAACACTATGCCTGGAACATAGTGTAACCCTAGCATTATTGGCAAATATAAATCGTCAAAGAATATTCAGTCTCGTGTATCCGTCGAAAGAGATTCGAATGAGTGTGCAGGGTACAACTAAACTCACTCACTCCAGCCTGCCTCTTTACCCGAATCCTAATCCAAAGCAGTATATGACTACCATCATCCCGAAGGAACACCAACTTCATAAGGTCCAAGATGGCGGCAGGGATAGGACGTGTGTGAGATCGCTCTCGAGTTGTGTGTCGCAATTGTTGTTATTGAAAGTCTGACGTGATCTGTAATTGCCTTTATGTCTACTGGAATAATCCTGAAGCATTTGTGAGGGAATATTGAGGCCTTTGAAGTATTACATTGTGAAATATGCCTTCACGAGATAGACGAGGGCGGAGGGGCGCAAACACCACAGGTCAGGCATCGCCACAGAGGAGCAGCAGTGAGAAAGGAAACCCATCTGGTTCTCCACTGGACTCTGTGCCACCGAAGTCAGCGAAACCACTGGTTCTATCGACTCTACAGCTTGATTTACCAGAAGTGTTTTCGTTTGGATCTTGCAGTACGCCGAGATCAACGAAGCAAACCAAGATGGCGACCCCCACACAGCGGGACAAGTCACGGCGACCAGAACCAGGACCGCTCCTACCCGTCCACACTGTTCAGTTTCATCAGTGATGCTTCCATGGATATGATCACTACGAAACTGAGTAATGCCGTCATGTGACCGGCCCTACAGCAGAAGTTCAGGGAATCGTTAGTGACTGTCGCTAAGGAAGCGCTGAACCACATAATTAAGGATGTTGTGGCCCCTTTCAAGCAGGAGATACGTGATTTGAGAGTCGAACTCCACCTCAAGACTGACGAACTAGAACAGTACAGTCGGAGGAACTCTTTGAGGATATCAGGAATCAAGGAACCCAAGTGGGGAGAGGATGACGAAAATATTGAGGAAGTTGTGCCGGATGTGCTTAAGGATGTGCACTCGGATATTTCACAAACAGATATTGACAGGTGCCACTGGGTGGGCAATAAACAGCGACGACAGAACAGGAGCATAGTGGTGAAGTTATTGAGGCAGAAACAAAATGATCAGGAACAAGTTCAAGCTCAAAGGTAAAAGAGACAATATCTACATTAACGAGGATCTGACAAAGTACAGAAATCACTTGGTTAAGCTCACCAGAGATCTGAAGAAGGAGTAGAGGATCTATCCCACCTGGACATACGATGGCAGGGTTTATATCTGTGAACAGTTGGAAGGACTCATTCGTGTCATTCAAAGTGAATCTCACCTCGACAAATATAGGCGTCAGTAGTGACTTAAATGTGTTTCACGTTCATGCTTGGCTTATTTGTTAAAGGTATTCAAATATGTAAGTATGTAAATATATTTTTATTTATTAATTGTATGTTCCATATAAACACATAACACATTCTGTCTTTCTTCTTGTTTATGTTTGTATTAAACTGTGTTTATACTATTCTTAATCTTACCTTTAAACTTTACAACTCTCAAGTTACATTTCCGAGTACACATGTATCCAAGACTGAATCACTGTATATTTTTATATCTTCCTCTTTAGAACAGTTGAGACATATACTGAGTCAAAAATCTTATTTGAAACTTCACAAAATGTAATTTGAAAAATAATGAATAATTTTTCTCTGATGATACATCTATGTATCCGAAATGGGATCCTATCTTTCGACTCTAGAAAAACGTTAGCAAAACCCACTCAAACCCATCCATTCGTCGTGCAAATGACGTTAGTGCCAAATCAGGTTTTGCACGTGCAGTCGATCACGTGATCTTCGCATCGAAGTTTTCTTCATATGCACGTGTTTGCATTGGCCTCAAGAATTGAAAAAACACTTTTAAACCACAGTTCTAACGGTACTTGAAATGCCACGATTGTCAAATGTGCAACGTGAACGTGCCGTTGGCATGTTGCAAGCGGGAAGATCAGTTATTGACGTCGCAAGAGCAATGGGATGCAGCCGTCGTACTGTGTATGACTTGCGAGGTCGTCTACAACAAACTGGCACCACTTCTGATCGCCCAAGGTCGGGTCGTCCACGTGTGACGTCACGAGCAGAAGACCGTCAAATCGTCCTACGTCACCTACGTGACAGATTTCTGCCGGCTACACGAACCAGGGCTGAGATGTTTAGAGGTCGACTGTCCTCACAGACCATTCGAAATCGGTTGCGGGCTGCCAATCTCCATTCTCGACGTCCATATCATTGGGCCAATATTGACGCCGTTTCATCAACGTCAACGTCTGCTGTGGGCCCAACGTCACCTCCGATGGACCCAGAGACTGGAATCGAGTCGTCTTTAGCGATGAATCAGGTTTACCCTCAGATTCGCGGACGGCAGGCATAGAGTCTGGAGACGACGTCGTGAACGGTATGCCCAATGTTGTGTACAGGAAGTCGACAGATTCGGGGCGGAAGTTGCATGGTGTGGGGTGCTTTCTGTGGGAACAACCGTTCCCGACTTCTGGTCATCCGTGGAAACCTCACAGCTGCTGCTTACCGCGACCAGGTGCTCACCCTGAACTCGTTCCTTTCATGGCGGCTCATGGCCCAGGTCTACAGTTCCAGCATGATAATGCTCGGCCGCATACCGCGATGTTGACACGAAATTTCCTTCAAAACGCTGGAATCAACGTCATGGACTGGCCATCGAGGTCCCTGACCTTAATCAATAGAGCACGTTTGGGATGCGCGGGAGAAGGCTTCGTGGTCTTAGGAACCAACCTCAGAATTTGCAGGAACTTGGCGCTGCCTTGCAAGAGCAATGGCGCAGAATCCCCAACCACGTGTTCACAAGCATCAGGCAGTCGATGAGGAGACGGTGTTTGGCAGTGGTGAATGCGCGGGGCGGCCATACGATATTGAACTGAGAAATTTCGCATTTTTATTCTTGTGACTTGACATTCTGTATACCCATGTTTTGGAACGGCGGTGTAGCCTAATGGAACTGATTATGGCACTGTCAGTGTATCGAGTACATCACACAGATCTCAGCAATGAAATAATAACAATTTAACCATCTTACCATCTCTTGTTCTTTTATAGTGCCCTGAAGAAAGAATGTGAAGTTTCTTTTTGACTCAGTATATTAGATCCAATAGTTGTTCGTGACGAAGTTGATGTTGTTGAAAGTGGTGTTGTTGATTTTGATAAAAGTATAAGTGATCACAAAGGCACGTTTGTCAGCCTTGATGTACATGGATCAACTAAAGTTGCATATCCTAGAAACGTTTGGTGTTACAATAATGGTGATTATGAAAAACTGAATGCACTTGTTAGCAGTACGGATTGGATGTCACTGTTTACTGACTGTTCTAATGTTGAAGATGCTTGCTGTGTATTTTATGAACGTTTTAACGATTATACCAAACAATGTATTCCTTCTAGACTGACTGACTGAGTTTGGTTTTACGCCGCTTTTAGCAATATTCCAGCAACATCACGGCGGGGGACACCAGAAATGGACTTCATATTCCTTGTGATGATAAGATCTAATGACAAACCATGGTATGATTCAAATATTCGACGTGTAAGTAGGAAGCGGGATCGACTGAGGGCAAAAGCTAGGAGAACACGGAATGAAACTGATATTATGAAATACAAAAAACGGCGTAATAAAGTTAATTAATTTAAATGTTATGCAAAAGAACATTTTTATTCAAATCTTGACGAATTTGTATTCGAACTTTATGCTGAAAATAAATTATCATATTGGAAAATGTTACGCAGTTTGATCAAGACGTCAGGTTCTGCTTCCTTCATTCCCGCTTTGAAAGAAATGCAGATGAAGGTTGTCCATTAGCTATTTCAGATTTTGATATAACTAATATGTTAAATGAATATTTTTGAGTCTATAGCTAATTTAAATGGTGCAGATACCACTTGTTTACCACATTTTGACAAGCGTACCGATGCGGTATTGGAAAACATTAAAATCGAAGTTAATAAGGTTTCAGATATCATTAAATATCTACCTCTTAAGAAAGCTGCTGGGCCAGACCAGATTAGTCACCACGTACTCAGAAAAACTGTTAATTCCATAAGTCCAGTCCTGTTCATATTATTGTCCCCCGCCGCAACGCGGAACGGGGGACTATGTATTCAGCGGCGGGCGTCCGTCCGTCCGTACGTCCCGATTCTTGTTAACGCGATATCTCATGAAATATTGTATCAAATGTCTTCAAATTTGGTGACAGCCTACATTGGGTGATTACGCAGACACCAGTCGATTTGGGTGACCTTGACCTTATTTTCAAGGTCACCACGACACTTTGACCACTTTTCAAACTCATGTTAGCGTGATATCTCATGTACTGTTGTACCCAATGTCTTGAAATTTGGTGACAGCCTACATTAGAGGATTACGCAGACACCAGTTTATTTTGGTGACCTTGACCTTATCTTCAAGGTCACCATGACACTTTGCACGCTTTTAACTCTTGTTAACATTATATATCATTGACTGTTGTACCCAATGTCTTCAAATTTGGTGACAGCCTACATTGGCGGATTTCACAGACGCCAGTTTATTTAGGTCACCTTGACCTTATTTTCAAGGTCACCACGACACTTTGAACACTTTTCAAACTCTTGTTAACGCGATATCTCATGGACTGTTGTACCCAATGTCTTCAAATTTGGTGACAGTTTACATTTGGGTATTACACAGACACCAGTTTATTTGGGTGACCGTGACCTTATCTTCAAGGTCACCACGATACTTTGACCGCTTTTTAAAGGCGATATCTCATAAAACATTGCACCCAATGTTTTCAAGTATGTTGACAGCCTACATTGGGTGATTATGCAGACACCAGTCATTTCAGGCATCTTGTATGTGACCCAAAAATAAAAAGTAGTAAATATAAATATTCCATTCTTTAGCGGCGGGGGACATTGCCATATCAGTGTCACTAAATTTGTGTGTGTGACCTAGCCAATGGAAGTATGCAAATGTTATGCCCTTATTCAAGAAAGGTGATCATTCGGTTGTATAAAAATTATCGCCCAATTTCACTTATTAGTTGTGTTGGGAAGTTTTTTGAAAGAGTTGTGTTTAAGCATGTGTATAATTTCTTTGTGTCAAACGATTTGTTATACAAATATCAGTGTGGCTTCCGGAGAGGTCATTCTACTGTACAACAACTTGTAGAAATTTATAATCAAATTTGTACATCACTCGATAACAAAGAATACTATTGTATGGTCTTAGGCGATGTATCAAAGGCCTTTGATAGAGTTTGGCAGAGAGCTTATGCTTAAATTAAAGATGTATGGAGTCAGTGGAAAACTCCTTGATTGGTTTAATAGTTATGTAACTGATTGCAATGAATCAGTCTTTGTTAATGGGTCGTTATCGAAGCCTATGGTGTTGAAAGCAGGAGTTCCCCAGGGATCAGTTTTAGGCCCATTTCTTTTTATTGTGTATGTAAATGAGATAGCTGATAAGCTACATTGTATAACTCGGCTTTTCGCTGACGATACTTCACACGGAACTTTATCAAAGGACAAACAAGTGATGGAAAGAGCCATGAATGAAAATCTAGAAATATTAAGCGATTGGGCAAAGGTCTGATTAATCTCTTACAATCCGGAAAAAAATGAAGCTATATTATTTACTTTGAAAGATGGCCGAAAAGACATTAATTTGAAGTTTGATAACTGCAATATAAAAACAGTCGATTTTCATAAACATCTGGGTTTAATCTTCACGCCTAACGGGAGTTGGCATCATCATTTTGAAAACATTATCAAAAAGACATCTAAAATGATTGGAGCGTTTCGAAAATTAAAGTTCCTACTAAATAGAACAACACTAGCGAAAATATATACTGTATTTATAAGGCCACATTTTGACTACGCATGCGAGGTATGGGATGGATGTTTGATTGAACAAGTTAATAGATTAGAAAACTTCAACTTGAAGCAGCTCGCATAGTTACTGGTCTTCCAAGATATGTATCTTCCAGTTCATTTTATTATGAAACGGGATGGGATCTACTTTCTGAGAGAAGGAGAAGACGCAAATTACCATTATTTTATAAAATTCAAAAAGGTCTGGCACCAGTTTTTCTTCAGGATTTACTCCTACCTGTAGTAGGAAACCAGACAAGTTATGAGTTAAGAAACTCCAATAACTTTAGTCAACCATATACAAGACTGAGGTACTCAACGTCTTCTTTTATTCCATCAACAGTTAAAGTGTGGAATAATATTCCCTTAGCTATTAGAAATTGCGACTCTGTTGCATCGTTTAAATCTTATATCCACGTGAAGGAAAAATGCGCACCTATATATTATTCATATGGAATAAGGAAGTTCAATGTTATGCACACTAGATTAAGATATATGACGAGTACACTTAGTTATGATTTATATAGAATAAATGTAAAAACATGACGCATCATGTCAATGTGGCCATAGATGTGCGAATGCTTTTCATTACTTCCTTGAATGTCCATTGTATACTATTCAAAGACATAAACTGTTAAAATCTTTAGAACATATTGTCAAAAATAGAACACTGATTGATATTAATCTTATCTTACATGGCAATGCAGGTCTCTCAATCACTGAAAACCAGAATGTTTTCAAATATGTACATATCTATATTTCTCAAACAAAACGCTTTCTCAGTTAACTTCTGTTGTACATATCCCAGCCTATGTCTGTCACGTGTGTACTTTGTTGTAAGATGAATTGTGTAATTATCTGAAGAGGGCTTTTCTAAGTTGGATAAGTTGTGCCCAATCCTTTTCTTGAATGAATAAAATATGTTTAAAACAAAAAAACACCAAGTTCTATGGATAGTGATCACTTTGTTGATAACGGTGTTATAGTACCTACACCGAAACGTCGCAGTCATTGCAATAAAGAAGTTGACTATCCACAGAACTTGGTTTTCCTTCACCAATACAACTTCTAAATGCCTCTCAAAGAAGATACCATCATCCCGCTCAGTCAACAGACAGGACGTCAAAAGTTGGTGTTTCTGGAGAATATAACGAACTTTGTTCCAAAACTTCTTAATCGACTGTTGATATTCTCATTGTGTGATAGCTTGTGTACTTTAAAACTTCAAAATAGTCAAGTGCGTGTCTCCATATGCTATTCAGTAGTAGGTGATATAGCCCACAAGTACTCAAAACAACGATAATATCGTGGTGATAACCAGTCTTCGAAGTACTGTCTGGCTAAGATAGTGAAATGGTCTGAGAAGGGATTTGAATAAACTGTCATATTTGCGATATTTGGAAATTGTGCCTAAGCTCTTAACACAAACGACTGAGGATAATAACGAGTAATTAGTAATAAAGGTCGCCGAAACACTGCGGACTTAAGGTCCAAAACCCAACTATTAGGCCCGTATCAAAACGTCACCATCGAATTTTTAGCTATCATTTAAATTGCCTAAATAAGAAGTCTTGTAATTTGAACATTGGGTTATGACTGATGGTAACCCGATGTTTCAAGTTTATTTTTTGTGACAAAGTACGTGATGAGAGTAGAGACATTTGCTCCAGCATCAAGTATAGTTGCTCACAGGGGCGTGTCACGCTTAGAAACAGCGCTAGAAAGACAGGTATATAGACCCTACCCTAGTACTATCCTTTTATACAGTACTAGGGTAGGGTCTATATACCTATATGTCTTTAGATAACGCTGTTTCAAAGCGTGACACGTCCCTGAGTAGTTGTTGAGCAGACTTGTTCTTTTTGATGTAAACAATGGACGGATAAAAAACAAGAAAAGCAGTTCTGTCTTCATACCGTATGCTATTTTTTATTTACATATGTGTACACAAATTTTGGCATACCGAAAATCCTTTCCCACTCATGAAATGCGTTTTTCATATTTAAACGAATAAAATCCAGTTTTAGTAACACGTTCCGTTTTCGGACAAAGAACATGTCACACGAACACAGCCAGCCATAGAAAGTCCGGGGTCACATACTCTTTCCCGCCATGTCCAAACCAACACGTGTTTCCATTAGCCCGTCCCGGAATCAGTCCGAAGTCGGAGTTTGCAACAGCGGCGTAGTGAACGGCAGCATCATACCCCTGCCTCCCCAGCACGACGGCTCTCCTAGGTGGCCCGATGCCACGGTTCCGCACTGGCACGATCCGACCCTCCGGCGCCGTCAGCCAGGAGAAGTCGTTGGTCCTGTGTTCCCGACCGTTGAGCGAAAACCAGCAGTGTCCCGACCTATTGGCCTTCCCCCCGATTGCTCCATGTTGGGTGTGGGCCACCACCGTCCACATTTTACCCCCTCCGTCATTTTGACAACCGAAACAAACGCCCTCTATCGGTGGGCGCCCAGTCACGTTTGGCGTGTACGTGTAGCCGCTCATCCCTCGGTGGCTGCCTAATTCTGAAAATGAGTGAGTTGCGTTTTACGTCTGTTTGAATTCCAGTAAAATCTTTGCATCAGCTTTACGTATGACGAGTGAGTAAGCATTTAGCAATATTCCAGCAATACATCACGTATGGGGGCATCAGAAGTGGACTTCATACATTGTACCCATATGTAAAATCGAACCGGGGTCTTCGGCGTGACGAGCGAACGCTCTAACCACTAGGCTACCCCACCGCCTAACGTTAGATGAAGAACAACAAAGGTCTACAAACTGAAGGGAGAACGGGCGGACAAGTCGTCTAAGGCACCTCAATTTCCTGTACAGAGTTGCGTCCCTTGCGTACGCAGGATCTTATGATCGTGTTTTCGAATCCGAGTTTGTCCCGTTTTTAGGTTTTGTCAGCACCATACCGGTGCTCGCTGGTTTCAACAAAAGTGGTAAAGGTCCAAGACATGCATCACTTATGGCTTTCCTCTGACTTATCCTATAGTATAGTGAGTGAGTGAGTTTAGCTTTACGCCGCTTTAAGCAATATCCCAGCCATAACTGACATTGGCTTTACACATTGTCCCCATGTGGAGAATCGAACGTGACGAGCGAAGGCTTTAACCACTACGCCACCACCCTATATCCTAGTATAACTCTAATACTAACGGCACAGTGAAATCCAAGAGAACGGGTACAGTAATGACAATCCAATTATCATAATCAGCGCGAATCTGGGATCAGAACCCACAGCCATTGATCCGGATGAATAAGGGCGATAACTCTACACGGCGATCATTCTGTAAGAGATTACTGGCGAATCAAATGACAACATTAACACATATGGAATGGACTGTGTTGACATAGATGGCTTTGCCATATAATTAGGTACACTACGGTCATCCTTATGTAAGTGACAAACAGAAAGCGTATAATCATAACAGTGGTTCAATAATATTACATGCAGTTTATAAACAGTTCTTTCCTCGCCTGTGTGCGCAGTCTATTCGGCCAAAGGGTACATAACTCATGCTTCTCTGCTGCAACACATAGTTAACCACCGTTGTGTGGAAGTTGAAGGGGCCAACGTAAATGCTTCGAGTTATCCCAGGTTCGATACAACCGAAAAATTAATAATAAAAGTATACGAAAGACCAAACATTTACTGTCAGACAACTGTAACAACGGTGTTGGAATGCAGAAACATACTTACCATGTCACCCCTGTAGACACGTGCTCACTACTACAGCTCTTTTCGGGTGTTTAAGCGGCGTGGAGGATAGCCGAAACGGCGATATCTGAAAATCGTTTTCACTCGCAGCAGCTGACAAACTAGAAATGATCGCCGTGCCTCTTCGTATCTTCCAGGCAGTAAAACGTTTGAGGGATCCCTCTCTGCGCCTGGGTTACCTCTACTGGCTGAATACGTCGATTGAATGGCATGCAGTCAATACACCGTACAAACGTCCACAGTGCCAGCTTTCTCTTTGTGTAACATTACAACAGACAAACGTTATAGTCATTCACTGGCTCTACCTGCCTAGCCGACATCAATAGCTGAAACACATGCCGACAGGTAAGATACAGGTAATATGTGATTTATCGCACCTGTTTTTGTTGTTTTGCGCCGCAGTCATGACCCTATGACAGCGGACAATGATCATCACTTGACACGGGCCAGTCGTCCACGTGGGACACCATGACAAAGCTAACATGTTAGACTGGTGCATCCAGGGAATAGAAACAAAGTGCCACGAAGCAACTCGGACAATTCCTGATCTAACAATTCTTTACACGGTTATTCAACTACTTGTAGTTAAAGGCACTATTTCACACCACACTTCTCAAAACATAAATAACGCATTTCTCTCAGTAATGCTAACTACTTACTACCCCTCTGGAAGCTATCATATAATTTATTTTTAAAAGAATACGTATTTAGATTACAATATTAAATTAAAAACTTCGAATGAATGAATGCAACGTTTCGTTAAATCGATTCTCGTGCCCTCTACCGGCCGAACAATATTTCAAACGACTACTCGTCCTTTTTCGTAACCTGAAAGAAGACTCGTACCCCTCCACTCTCCTACCCAGAGTTCCAATGCGGCAAACCAGCATAGTACCTCTGCCACAGGCCAGAAAAATGTGACGATTCGTCACATCTTGCAATGTCCATTCAATATAATGTACAGATTTCTTTTACTCTTTTATTTTTGACGAGTCTACACATCTAACTAAACATCTTTAATAGAATGGTTTAGTTTCACTGAGAAAATATCCAAAAACATGTAACACTATTTCGATTTGCGTAGCGATTCTTTGTTTACATAGGTTGTACGGCTCCACGTGCTGTCATCGAAGCTGATGGAGAGCAAACGATGCAGCCAGTTTGATATCTAAATATGTACTGTCATAGACCTTACTGTCGCAGTTGTGGAAGAATATATATGTAACAATGTAAAACAATATGAAGAGAGCGCCGAAAAGTTTTCGTAAGTCCAGTCTCTTCTTATTATGAATATGCGCTTTTGTTTATAAACAAGAGAAAAGTCCGGTCACGTGATATGCAAATTAGCACGTGGCCCCTCTCGTAGCCATTTTACTGAACTTGACTCTGTCTGAGCGCAAAAGCGCAGAGAGAAAGAAATAGTCCAGTCGCCGAACTATTTTCAAGGGCATGCAACTCTAGTTTACTTGGAAAACAATGTCATTCACGCCAAGGAAATTACAGCTTGTTCAGCTTGTTCAGGTCAAATATCAAAAAACGGCAGGTCGAGTTAACTTCATTAAATAGGGGGGCAGAGAATGTAATTAATGTTGCATTCGTGCGAAGCATGCATATATGGATTCGTTACAGATCTTGTTCGAAAACAACACTTCTAAAAAAATTTAATCATTTCATGTTTTAATTGAATTGTTTATACAGTCTAAATAATGATCCGATTGTGACGATTTATGGCTCATTTTGTAGGGACATCATCTCGCTGTCGATCCATAGGCCTCGACGGGGCCTTAAAAATAGTTTACTAACTTTGAATGAGGAGGGAGTGGTTCGTCGTTACATCCCTTTCCTTTTATATAGTATACTCAGACCTCGTTGTATCGCGGCATTCATGGTATCGCGGCAAACGGTATTTCGGGTTTTCCGCGCGAGACACGCCTCCTAGCGGTGATTTGCATATGTAAATCGACAGACAGACGTCAGTCGCTTGTTTACTTTTTAGAAACCAGCAGGATGTATCGAATCTTTGTAAGCATTATGCAGCAGAAATATTAACATTAAAAACTCTTGAATCTAATGGAATCTGTCTGAACCCCATTCATCAAATACACGCTATAATATTTATGTGTCGTATATGACCCTTCCCACTCGATCTGAACTAGGTCGTATGCATCTCACTGTTGCCATATAAGGTAGTGGAAGTGACGTCATGAGCTTTATTTATCTCCCGGTGAATACCAAAATTTGTAATTCAAATAAGGACACAAAACGTAAAAAATGATCCCTGTTCACTGAAAACGATTTTGCACACTCTAACAAACTAGAAATTTAGAAAAGATTTATTATACTGTTGTTCACATAATTATTTATTCATATTTTAACATTATTTCAGATAATATTTTGCATTGAAATATTGTTGAAATCATGGCTGAAATAAAACAAAAAACAACAGTATGAACAAATATTAAGAAAATCATGATGAAAATGATGTATTTTGGAAGTTTGGTGATTTCCTTGAATAAAATTTCATAATGGATACAGTTTTGTGCACCTTTGATTACAAAAAGTACCTCAACTGATTTCACATAAAGGTGAGTTAAACAATTTCATTTTTTGTTCCCTACATCGTCTTGCAATCCGAGTTTTAGTGTTTACCGCGATACAATGGAGTTCTATCCTTTGGTAAATATTAACCGGCTTCGTTCGTTTAATGGCTCTCGCTGAAACACTATCAAAGTTAAAAATAATATTCTTTTCACAAATGTGTTGAATAAATGTGATGTTAATCGGATTTAATAATAGAATAGGCCATAAAAGTTTTTAATTTCATTTACGATTACGGATATGTCAAGTGCCGCGATACAACGAGGTCGCAGGCTACTAGTAGGGTCTATATACCTATTTCCAGTTCGGCAAATACCGACAATACCGCGTGCGACAGTTTTCGATGTACGATGCAATTGTTTACATTCCATATATGGCAAGTGGTCTCTGTTTGGAAGCTGTTCGCCTCAAAGTTTCAATTATCGAAGTCATAAGTGATAATAAACCTTTTATTGTATCAATAGGAAGCTAAAGTGAGTGCATATGCCCAACATATATAATTCAGGCCAAAATATTGTCGAAAATCTGTCTACACAGCAAACTAGACTAATGCTTAGTCTCTCAATATATACTGAAAGCCATTAGAAACGCATCTACTATTCTGATGATATAAGTTTTATTGACGTGAATGGTTTGAACCCAAACTGTTGTGTGAATCAACTAACCATGTCACCTGAAAAGCATGCAAAGTGAGAGCAGCATGCATGCAGGTGCGGTCACGTGACACATGATGACCACATAACCACGAATTGTCATGTAGAGCGTGAACAGATGACCCAATTGATCCGAAATGTAAGCAGGTTTAAAGTTTGACAATTTTCCTGTAAGAATCACATGGTTTTGGGTCTTTAATTCCATTGCTGAATTTGTAACGATGCCTCGATTATCGCCTGTTGGGAGAGAGCGAGCAGTGTGTTTGCTTAATGCTGGATTATCCACCCGTGCAGTGGCCCGGACAGTTCAACTGTCACATGTCGACAATTGTTAGACTCTCCCAGCGTCTTCAACAAACAGGCAGCACACTTAACCGTCAACGTCCGGGACACGTCACAACCCCATATCAAGACCACTACATCCAGGTCATCCATCTGAGGAACCGGTTCCAGCCAGCAGCAAGGACAGCTTCAGCAATCCGTGGGAAAAGGGGGAAAATCAGTCCTCAAACTGGTGAGACGTCGTTTACGTGAGAGAGCGCTACGTGCACATCGACCTCATGTTGGTCTAATTCTGACACGTAGACATCGTCAGGCACGTCTCGCTTGGTGTAAACATCATCGCAAGTGGACACACAGAGAGTGGGCAGCAGGAGTCCTGTTTACCGACGAATCCAGATTCCACCTCAGTCACTTTGATGGACGTTTGCGTGTGTGGAGTAGACGCGGTGAGGGTTACGCCAATTCCTGTGTTTTGGAGGCTAATCGCTGGGGTGGAGGAAGTTTGATGATATGGGGCGAGTTCAGTGTGTTTGACAGGACCCCCTTGCATGTCTTTCGAGGCCGTGTTACCGCCCAAACGTACACGCAGAGGTTTTAAGGCCTATCGTTGTCCCTCACATGATGACCCATCAACGTCTGCACACTCTGCAACAAGATAACGCCAGACCCCAACCAGCAAGGCATACCATGGACTTCCTGCGACAGAACAACATCAATGTCCTGCAATGGCCATCGCTGTCCCCTGATTTGGCACCCATCGAGCATGTCTGGGATGGAGGGGGAGGAGAACTGCCAATATGGCGCCGCCTCTCAACTTGCCGCAGCTGGAAGCGTCTCTCCGCAGGATATGGCAACAAATCCCTCAGGATTTTTCAGGAGGGTCATCTTTTCTCTCAGGAGGAGGTGTGTGGCTGTTATTGATGCTAATGGTGGACACACGCGATACTGACGTTGTCTTCCTTCTTGTTGTTTACCTGTGTGAACTTTTGATTTAACCCCATCTCTGTTTAACCCACGTTGCCTTGGTCAATAAATGCAGTGCAACTTCATAACGCATTTCATTCTCTTCTTAAATGGTTACTTATCACATCGTTCTCTAAAAAATTCTTGGATGCCAAAACGCACCTAAGCAATATGCTAATCTATCAGTGAGGCGTTTCTAATGGCTTTCAGTATATATAATATTTTGATAGTAACAAACAAGAACATTTAAATTGAAAAGGAGACCCAGGGAGATCAGATATTCAGAGGAAATCTAGACTTGCTTTATTTAGGGCTTTAGCACAGCAGAGAGGGCTTGGCAGTAGGGAAAATAATGTGGTTCAGGGACTATGAGACAGACTAACAGCAAACCAAAGCAATTTTGAAACAGATAACTGTAAAATGAACTGAACTTTAAATTCAAAAGCAAAGTCATTTGATAAAACTTGTGTTCAGTTCACTTCATCTAATGTTTCATAAGTTAAAAAAATCAAAACAGTTACAAGAATACAATGACTCTTCAGTCCCAAGAGACTAATTGTTTGTTGAATTTTAATGCAACACTGAGCAATTTTCCAGCTATATGACAGGGGTCCGAGTACTAAAAAGAAAACATAAGTCACGTTTGGTGCAGCAGGAAATTAGTCTTTTATTACTGATCTAATATGTGATTAGAACACAAAGGCTAAACACATGAATGCTGAAAAAAACCCGAAGCAAACAAGTACTGTACACTACATCAGTTTTGTCAAAATGCTCCATACAATACCTTGAGCATATAACTTCACCCATTTCTGCCACAATGTAAACATAATTGTAGTATAAATAAAATCTTTACTAAGCAAAAGAAATATTTACAATATTATTTAAAAAACATTATTATTTTTTTAAAACAAATCAACAGGAGTATTAAGAAGAATCTGATGCATGCTATATGGTCCAGGTAACATTCTTGTACAGAGAAAAACAGTAACATTCTTGAATATTGTACAACTTGGTAATACTGATTTACACTATAAATCAGAAATCCATGGCACTTATGAAGAAAATCCTGTTCAGATGACTGTATCACAGAAATTGATCAAATTTTATAAGAAATATTTAATGAATTTCATAATAAAATTATGAAAAACGTGAAACTCCTATAGTACTGCTAGTGAAAACTATAGTGTAAATGTGCAACTGATGGACTTCCTCCCTTGTGAACACAACGATGACACAAGGCCCTTTGTTATACAATAACAGTAAATACAAGTCCGTAAACTGACATTACCCAAAATCCTACGCTACAATATCACGGATGACTTAAAGCGAGACAACCTAAGGTGACTAGGTACCTCCGTGGTAGAATATATTTGTCTGTTAACAATGGTCTACAGTCGGATGCTCATGCTGTTGATCACTGGATTGCCTCGTCCAAACTCGATTATTTACAGACTCCCGCCATATAGCTGGAATATTGCTGAGTGTGGTGTTAAACAACAAGCCAACCAACCTTGGTGAAGCAGTGAAGTCTGTCATACAATGTAAATCTCTCTTGTACAATGTATGATCTAAATAACGAATGCTTGCTGTAAGTCATTGGTATGTACAATGCATGGCCTTGGTACTTTGTTGTACATTTTAAATCCTAGGTAACTGTAATTCTAACATTGTAGGAACAAGGCAACATATTTCAATGGAGTAATTCTACAAAACAAATATTGCTAAGAAAAACTTCCAAACATCACAAAAATAGATCAGGGAATGCTGTGACAGAAGACACAAGAGTTACCCGAATACAACAAACGTTATAACCAACAAACAAACAAACAAGATTTTATTAACAAACAAAAGAAGTTTCATGAGCTATCCTTGATGAACCAGATTCCATTATTGATAATGTCCAGGAGCCTCTGAGCACCACTTGAACCATAACCACTTCAAGTTTATAACATTCCCTTTGTCTTCAATAATTCATATCTACAAGACTTAAGTAATATTGATTTAAGGTAATAAAATATCAAATCAGATGATAAGTAACATTAGATGTCAATTGTTGATTATTGCATTAAAACCAAGCTGGAAACATCACGAAGGACAGGGAACAAGCATCTTCAGCAGTCAAGTAAAGAGTTGTTCAGACTGTCCAGCAGAGTGATGTTTAGATGGTGTCCACTCCTCCAGAGTCCCCTTGTCACGTGTGTCAGCTGACCTACTGAACCTTGACAGATGTCAGACGGACGTCGCCGTTGACGTTCAGGTAGTCAACTCTGCTTAAGTGGCTGGATCCTGTGATTGAACTCACAGAAGTGTTGGTTGTTGACGGCAATCTGGAATACAGGGGTTTGAAGTTAGCAGGTTATAAAGAGGTATTTCATTAGCTGCCAAATCTACATCCTATAGCACACTCATGGTGCTCCATGGGTTCTTCTAGTTTTCCATTCACATTAACATCTCACCCTCCCAGGTACACCAGCCACTGCTGGCTGAGTAAAGTCAGCTATGTTATAGTTTTCCATTCGCACTAATATATCATTCTATCTGGTACCCAGCCACTGCTGCTTGAATAAAGTCAGCTATGTTATAGTTTTCCATTCGCACTAATATATCATTTTATCTGGTACCCAGCCACTGCTGCTTGAATAAAGTCAGCTATGTTATAGTTTTCCATTCGCACTAATATATCATTCTATCTGGTACCCAGCCACTGCTGCTTGAATAAAGTCAGCTATGTTATAGTTTTCCATTCGCACTAATATATCATTCTATCTGGTACCCAGCCACTGCTGGTTGAATAAAAAGTCATCTGTTTGGCAGTTTTTCATTCACATTAACATCTCATCCTACTGGGTACCCATCCACAGCTGTTTGAATAATGTCACTTAACAGAAGTCAACTTTGCACAGAGAGATCACCAATCAGCCATCACTGCCTTGACATGCCTTGACATTTTGAATCTCGTCATCTAATCATCAATATCCTCAAATGACAAATACTAAAACAAAATTAAATATTTCATATCACTATGCCATACAGATTAATTGTTATAATTTGAAAAAGATATGTGTAACATGTTATATTCGGGATAAAGTTTTTTCAGTAAAGAACCCATTCTAGTACTTTTATTTTGAGTCCTATCCGGGATTCGAACCCAAACTCTCAGAGTCCAACACCTAATTGCCAGCAAACAAAGTCATCCATCTAACCCACTCTGCCACCGCAGGTTCCACACAAAGTCAGTGGCTGAGCGTATTTAAATAAATATGTGGTTAACCCATTATGAGTAGTATAACAAGAGTTATGTCCCCTACAAATGAAGACCTCAGTATTGAAAATGTAGCCATTTTTTGTCAAAATGAATGTCTCTTTCACATGTTTTTTACTTCTGACTACATACAACATGAGGGCAACAGTAAATATTCTTTCTTGAGGAGGATTTGCATATGAAAACATCTAAATGTTTCACCTTGATGCTGGCTTGTTCGACGAGGATGATCATGTCGGAGTTGGCGTTGGGGACAAAGGGGAAGTAGTTCTGGTGTTTCTCCTCAGTTCCCCAAGTGCTGCCGACTTTGTGGGTCCTGATAGTCTGGTTGTAGGCACCGCCATAGTTGAATCTGATATCAAAGTGCATGCCTATGTCCCCTTGCTCACTCGGACCACACATCAGGTTTACTGTGAATCTACAAGATTGAAATGATGAATGAGTTAATGTTGTTCTCAGTGTTGTGTTGATCTTATTTCAAGTACAGTCATCCTTCTAGAAACAGCCCCATCCTGAAATGCCTAGAATCATGTCTGTCCTGGTCATGTACAAGACAAAGGGCAGATAACTACGATTCAAGTGCAAAACCAAACGATGATCCATTCTGACAATTTCTGTCACCAACTGCAGTTCAAATCCTTCAATGACAAATTTTGAAATATTTTAAAGGGTAGTTCAATCATTTCCTTCCACTGGCACTAAAACTGTTCACACACAAAGAAAATGTTTCAAATACAGTAGAAAAGATCTCAAATTTTTGTAATATCTCAGAGAAAATCTACGGTGCCTGCATAACTGCAGCACTATTCCACTTGTAGCAGAGCAGCCTGCAACTGACCGAGTCTTGACACGGCAAACCCTAGACTAAGAGCATCACACTTGAGCAATGTGAGTGAGTGACTGAGTGTGGTTTTTGAAATGGGCTTCACACATTGTACCCATGTGGGGAATCAAACCCGGGTCTTCAGCGTGACGAGCAAGCGCCTTACCCATTATGCTACACCACCGCACCTGAGCAATGTGAAGATAATCTGATTTGGGTATAGTTTCAATTAATTCCTCAGGATGGGGGTCTCTACTGATGTGCCACATGGTCAGGGTGTATATTCACTGAAGACATCAGGATGGGGGTCTCCACTAGCGTGCCACGTGGTCAGGGTATAGATTTACTGAAGAGATTAGGGTGGGAGTCTCTACTGGTGTCCAACATGGTCAGGGTATATACATTTACTGAAGACATTAGAAAGGGGGTCTCTACTGGTGTGCCACATGGTCTGGGTATAGATTTACTGAAGACGTTAGGACGGGGGTCTCTACTGGTGTGCCACAAGCTCAGTGTATAGATTTACTGAAGACATCTGGATTGGAGTCTCTACTGGTGTGCCATGTGGTCAGGATGTAAAGTCACTGAAGACTTGTTTATGAAAGTCCACACTGGCCAGGGTATAGATTTACTGAAGACATGAAGATAAGGGTCTCTATGTGCCACATAATCAGCAGTGTATATTCATTGAAGACATAAGGATGGGGGTCTCCACTCGAGTGCTACATATGATCAAGGTGTACACTCACCGGGACACATTAGGGTTGGGGACTCCACTGATGTAAATCATGCGGCCAGGGTAGATCCCACCAGGAATGCTGGTTGTAAAAGGCACAGGCTGCAAGAAAAGCACAATGTACAACTATTCTGGTCACTTGCACCAGTGAGTGAGAACTGTTTTATGCCACTTTTAGCAATATTCCAGCAATATCACGGCAAAGGACACCAGAAATGCTTCACACATTGTGCTCGTGTGGGGAATCGAACTCAGGTCTTCAGCGTAATAAGTGGACACTTTAACCACTAGGCTACCCGACCGCCCCCACTTACAATTGGATATTAAGTACAGCAACATAAATTCAAGGCAAGACTGAATAATAATCATATAAATTCAAAATGTCAAACTGTATCAGCTGAACACAATACACAGAGCAGATGTTTTGAATTATCTGAGAAGATATATTGATCCATACAGTGAAAAGTGTTATTGTGTATGATGTTCAATATTTGTTCAAATGTGCCGCACTCAGCAATATTCCTGGTATAATGGCAGTCTGTAAATAAACAATTCTTAAGTACACGAACTAGTGATTGATATTATGAACAGAGACTAATATTGTCAGGATATAGTGACACACAAGTCATCATCACTCCATCCATGATAGATTACTGTAATAATGTAATAATTTAGTTCACAGATCCATGGAGTCAACTCAAACATAGTTGCTAGGTACCTATTCTAATCTAGAATGGGTTATTGTGTTTGAAATCATTCAGTTTACTATTTGTTTTCACATGGAGTCCTGTATTTGAGGGTCCCTTGGACTCTTAATTTTCAGGGGTCCTGGAGAACAAAATGCGGGTCCCAGACACTTAAATATTATTATTGATACTTTTATTGTATTGTGTATCATGATCATCACATTGTTACAGTAATTAAATTGCAAATGATACCATAACCCAGCTAGTAGCAAACTCAGTGATAACTTATTGTCACTTGATTGGAATTTTTACAAAAAGTATTTGTACTTTTTCTGAGTCCTTGTGGACGCGCTAATAATTTTTGTTGCGTCCATTGTGAATATTTATGCGTACAGAACGCAGGAATTCGCGTCCTGTAAATCCCTGTCATCGTCACTCCATCGATGACAGATTACTGAATGGGTTATCGTGTTTGAAATGATTTAGTTTAATATTTGTTTTCACAACTCACCGGGTTGTAGATGGGTTGAGCGCCACCTGGATATGCTGGAGGTGCTGGGCTCTGTACAAACACACATAATGACACACATGTCACACACATGGCACATAAATGTCTTATACATGGCACATACATGGCACATACATGGCACATAAATGTCTTATACATGGCACATACATGGCACATACATGGCACATAAATGTCTTATACATGGCACATACATGTCACATACATGGCACATAAATGTCTTATACATGTCACATACATGGCACATAAATGTCTTATACATGGCACATACATGGCACATACATGGCACATAAATGTCTTATACATGGCACACAAATGTCATATACATGGCACATAAATGTCTTATACATGGCACATACATGGCACATAAATGCCACAAACTGATGTAACTAAGGGAGACGATTCAACAAAGCAAGTTGCATTTCCTTACATGATATACTAGTAGCTCTCATGCAACCTTTGTCCGACATCACTAGATAACAAACTTGAACTACAGCATTGTGAGGACAAGCATATATACAACATGTTAGTAAGCAGTGACACGCTATTATTTGTTGTTCAATCACATTCAAATAAGGTCTCAGTCTTCGCTACCACTACACAAAGAAGTGACAACAGCTAGTCACATCAGAACAACCCTTCGCAAACATTGATCGACCAATGAATGACTAACAGGAAGTTGATATTAGCCAATGAGAGAGCAGCTTTCCTGCTTTTGTCACAATTGTCACAATGAAGAGTATTTTGACAAAGTTCTTGATTAAAAATTTGGAAATTGAACCAAAAAAAATCTGGAACGCTAACAGCTTTTCGAAACTGGCAGTATTTCCGAAGATATGGAATGTTTCTTCCCTTTATGACTGCATGATTAGAAAACACATGTGCATATTCTCTGATTGGTCAGGTGAAAGGCTGCTCAGAGGTGACCTGTAAGTGTCCTGAGATCTATGAGAAGCAATTGTTAGCACTTAAATTAAAGTGAGATTGATGTTCAACTAAAAAAACAGCAGCTGTCAAAATGGATGGTGCGGCCTCTGACGAATCATGCCTGGATCTGATGAACCAGTGAATAATGTCATGAGCAAGTTTGGGTTACGATGACAACCAAGTGAGTCACGTGACCGACGCATCCAACTGAGTCACGTGACCAACCTCTCCATGAGGTGACCTCATACAAGATGCACACAAGGTGATAATGCCACACTCTAACCCACACTCACACAAAGGGGGCGTGTTAACAATACCTGCCTCTGTATCAGTCTATGTACACTAGTGTTGGGAATTGGTTAAAATCTCATAATTGATGATTGGTTCATTACTACCGATCAATCATCGAAAATAATTGGTTAGCATCATTTACGAAATTTGTTTATGCACATTTAAATAAGGGAAAAAAATGTAGTTCTTCTGGGGTTTTTTGGCAAAATTTCACATCTTAAAAGATGACTAGTATGTTAGGAACATAAATTTCTTGGAATCTTTAAGATAAATTCAATCATGACTTGAAACGAGCTTGTAGTGCTTACGAAATGTAACAGACAAATCCAACCATGTGAAAAATATTGTTAAAGGTCACATGCAAACAAAAAATCAAACATAATTAAAACACAATTATCACTTCTTCATGACATATAATATGCATTGCTGATTATGAAAAAACAAATAAACAAAATTATAAGCGTATAATCGCAAATCAAAAGTGCAATATTTTGTACTTAGGTTTACCTCCCTCGAAACGAAGCAGCCGGGATACCGAACCCAGTCAGAGCGGGTGGGTGTGCACTCAAGTGTAACGGCTGGTTCATTAGCAGATGCCGCCGGCTCATTGTGTGTGTATATATAGAGATGTTGGGTTTTGTAAATACATGCTCATTTTTTGTGTATAACATTTTGCAATCAACAGACATCATAACATGTCATGTGTTCAAGTATCACACCTGCCTGTCCGTGTAATTACCTAATGTGACAGAGACCGAACTCGGGCCATAAATCAATGCGTTTTGTTTATGGTGTATAGCCTGATTGGTGTTAAGTTCAAATTGCATGTGGTCAGTGATCGCGCGTTGTGTATTGAATATTGTCATTAGCAGACTGGCAGGCAGACACATAGGTGTCAATAACACAAGACATTGAGTTTTGTCTGTGACAATGACATATCTATATCACAGTTAGAAATTGTGTCAACGCTAAATAATGACATTGCTTTTAAGTATCGAACTGAGAAAGTGACTTCGGTAAGAAGAACGTGTGGTGAAATAGACAAATGAAATTATATGAATAGTTTTTACCGTCATAACATATAAAAAGCTCAGCCTGTGAGATATCAACAAAACATTATGAAAATAGCTCACACCAAAGCCTGCACCGAGTATTCACCAGACAGCCCGCTTCCAAGTTGCGCGAACCTATTTCACTGCGCACGTGCTATGAGCGCAGCCCAGCTGTTGAAACCCGTATTCCCCAGAAAAGTCTGGGGAAAATTAGTGAAACGTTTGAACTCCGATTTTGCGCGTTTTTTTTCATCGCGTTATTTTTCAACTTTATAACTTGAATTTGCATTTTTGACGATTTGTTTCGGTAAGTCCATATGGAAAGGTATCAGAATCTGCAAAGTTGTGTTTTACGTTGCATGTGACCTTTAATGAAAACAAGTGTTCCAGAATTGTTTGTGTTCGATTATGAGAAATTATGATCGATTGCTTGGTCGTTTAGTCACTACGACCAATCTTCGATTATTTCAATTAATCGGACCACAAGTAATGTACAGTTCAAAGATCGAATGTTAGGGATCAATGTTCAACAACTAACCTGTTATAGATTGCGACAAGCATCAGTTTAGCACAAATAGTTAGGGCATGAGTATAAGCATAATACAAAGCCGGAAGATGAACTGTTTGAGAGGCATTCTAGAAGTTGTGAGCAACAGGAATGACAAGTGTTTATGGATGATCAACTTCTTTATTGTACAATATATAGCTATGTTTCGGTATAGATACTTCTACCGTTTTCAAGTTTTCATGCTTGAAAAGTATCTATACTGAAACGTCGCTGTTGTACAATAAAGATGCTGATCATCCATAAACACTTGTCATTCCTATAGCTGGGAGATATTGCAAGGATTCATCCAGCCTTTCTTAAGCCCAAAGACAAATTCATCAAATCATGCTCAGATAAGTGAAGATCTCTTTAATCACAGTGATGAAGAATGCAACAAGGATTAAAAACCAATCTTCTTGGGGCGTAAACACGATGCAGGGATGTGGTTAATTCATCTCAGCACACAACAACACTTAAAACTTTGTATTACACAGATAAGTACAAGTGTAAAAGAATGAGGGTCAGATGAACACCTTGCCATACTACCACAATAATGTTAACAAATTCCAATCCCAAGCCAAACAGTTCTGTTATGATTTTATACATTATTACATAGATGAGATTACTTGCACTTAACACCAGGCTCATAGAATATAACACGAACTACCTTAGATCTCAATATCCACATTTACAAGCGTAGATGACTTAGTCCATATTGAATAAACAACACTGCAGTGATTTGCTGAACGTGTTATGAAGGTGCACTATCTGATCTGTGTCCTTTTTCTATGACAATGACATTTTGCTTACTCTCAAAGAGAAATTTACTTCCATTCACAATGAAATAATATATTAATAATGACAAATGAAGGTATGATTACATTAATTCTGACATGTCCTCAATTAAAGAAATGGTTGGTTGGTTGGTTGGTTGTTTAACGCCGCACTCAGCAATATTCCAGCTATATGGCGGCGGCCTGTAAATAAATGAGTCTGGAACACACAATCCAGTGATCAACATCTTGAGCATCGATCGATCATTGGGATACGACATGTGTCAACCAAGTCAGCAAGCCTGACCACCCGATCCCTAAAGTCGCCTCTTACGACAAGCATGGGTTGCTGAAGAACACAACTAACCCCATTCTTCACGGGTAAAGATACCCAGCAATGACAGTGGTTGGGTATTTCACATTGATGTCACATATTTGTATGTAGGCTGCCAAAAGCTTCATGCTTACAATGATTTGCTCCATACAAAGCCCTACAATGGCACCTCTCCAACAAAGACTTCTTTGCTAATTTTTTGTAGCATTTACGTAGTGCCAAATCAAATATCAAACTATTCCAATAAATATATTCCTGGTATTCTAACCATATTTGGATTTCCTACTTGTGTAACACATTGTCCAGCAAGGCTGGGGAATTAATGTCGTTTCTTAGATTCAGTTTTCCGTCAATTCGAACTTAAGTAAAGGGTACAGAATCAGACATTGCACCAACAAGTTCACTACAATGAGATCATGAGCTGTGAAACTACTCTACGTGGTGACCGTGCATCTTACCCCTGGGATCATGGGTTGCCCTGCGATGTACATTGACGCACCTGGAGGGGGTGGTGCATGGCCAGTGGGATAGCCTGGGGCATAGCCGGGAGGAGGGGCATAGCCAGGAGGAGGGGGTTGGTAGTGCGGTTGCATAATAGGCTTGAAATGGAAACAGTGTGCAATTCATTTCATTTCCAAATTTTACATACACATATTAAAGCCCTCGACAATTAAAAACAATATCTGTATATTCATATTCCACACTTATTTGCTGTGTAAGATAATTCTGTCAATATAAACCTCTCTAATTCATATTTACATAAGTATCCATACATATCCATTCTTAGTTTGAAGTTCAACTCATTTTAAAAATACATTCAAAAAACATTTCTAATTCATTTGAAATGACATATCTTAAATAATCCCTTTAAAAATCTATATTAATTTGCCTTATGATTATAAACACTGGAGATATATCCCCTACTAATATCAAAGCTTGTATGACCAATTAAGTATGTCCGCTATCAGATGGCAGCGTATCAATACACTGGCACCACTACTGTGGTCATCCTGTCTTGTAATGTACACCAGGGTATACTATGTCGTATCGTGCCAGGAAGGCAGACTTTCATGCAGCAGCATCCGGAGCAGTGTGGCAGAGAAAAGAGAAACATTCTTGCCGTAGTAATAGTAACGTTTCCATGATGATGGTGATGACTTACTGCACCGCCCTCAAACTTGACGTAGCTGACGTTGACCTCGCCGGAGATGATCAGGTACGGCGCACTCTCCTTGGGGATGCGGTGACGGAAGGTGGCGAAGTGGCGGCCGTTGATTGAAATCTGTGGAGACGAAGGCACTTTGCTATTGTCCCATACTTATGGTAATGCTGGTAAATCCTGGTTTAATTAATAATAATTCACATAACAGGGCTCGATTTAAGAGATGTTAACCTACTTGCACCAGGTGCAACCTAAGATAAAAACCTAGTTGCACCAGACAAATTCCAGTTGCACTGCTCTTATCACAATATGTAATGAAAGAAATGTGCTACTGAATTATTCAAAGCTTAGATAAAAAATGAGCTGACATAAAAATGCTTATAATGTTAGATTTATTGTTGATTTATTTCTCAAAATTGTTAGACAAATAACTAGGTTGCACTTTGTAACATTGGGTTGCACCAGTGCAAGTAACAAAGCACTAAATCGAGCCCTGCATAATAAACAGTCACTGGCAGCAGCTGATGGTTTTTGTAAAGAAAACTGCACCTCTTGATGATGATTCACTTCACGTCTCTCTTACAGCAAAACATCCCACATTCAAGTAAAATATTGAATCACAACGTGCATTCACATGCGTGAATAATTTGTTCATATATTTTAGTGTCCTTCAACCAATGTGGTTAAGGGAGTACCTTGTAGTGATGAGGATCCGCCAGGATGATGATTTCAAATGGGGTCCCCTTCCGGAGTGGCATCCCCCCTCCCCGCTCCTCCTGTCCCCAGGCATTGTACTGCTGGGAGTTCCGGATGATGGCGTTCTCGTTGAATCTCACGTTGAAGTGGAGGGCAGTGTCGGGTAAGGGGCTGATCTGGGGGCTCGTACACAGGTTGATGGCAAAGCTATAACATTCAAAGCCAGCGTCTATATCACTTTGTGTTTGTTGCTAGTTGCTCTATTGCTTTATGTGGCTGCATATAGCTAGTCACTATCACATGTCTGTATATGTCAAGTCACTATTGCTTAATGTGGCAAGTCATTATCACATTTTTGAATGTGGCTAGTTGCTCTGTCACATATTTGGCTAGTCTCCTACTTCTGTATGTGGCTATTCCCTCTACCTCTGTATGTGGCTAGTCCCTCAATCTCTGTATGTGAATCGTCCCTCTACCTCTGTATGTGACTAGTGGATCTACCTCTGTATGTGGCTAGTCCTTCTACCTCTGTATGTGACTCGTCCCTCTACCTCTGTATGTGACTAGTCCCTCTACCTCTGTATGTGACTCGTCCCTCTACCTCTGTATGTGGCTAGTCCCTCTACCTCTGTATGTGACTTGTCCCTCTACCTCTGTATGTGACTCGTCCCTCTACCTCTGTATGTGACTCGTCCCTCTACCTCTGTATGAGGTTAGTCGATCTACCTCTGTATGTGGCTAGTGGATCTACCTCTGTATGTGAATCGTCCCTCTACCTCTGTATGTGACTAATCCCTCTACCTCTGTATGTGACTTGTCCCTCTACCTCTGTATGTGAATCGTCCCTCTACCTCTGTATGTGGCTAGTCCCTCTACCTCTGTATGTGACTAATCCTTCTACCTCTGTATGTGACTCGTCCCTCTACCTCTGTATGTGAATCGTCCCTCTACCTCTGTATGTGGCTAGTCCCTCTACCTCTGTATGTGACTAATCCCTCTACCTCTGTATGTGACTCGTCCCTCTACCTCTGTATGTGGCTAGTCCCTCTACCTCTGTATGTGGCTAGTCCCTCTACCTCTGTATGTGACTAGTCCCTCTACCTCTGTATGTGACTCGTCCCTCTACCTCTGTATGTGGCTAGTCCGTCTACCTCTGTATGTGACTAGTCCCTCTACCTCTGTATGTGACTCGTCCCTCTACCTCTGTATGTGGCTAGTCCCTCTACCTCTGTATGTGGCTAGTCCCTCTACCTCTCTATGTGACTAGTCCCTCTACCTCTGTATGTGACTCGTCCCTCTACCTCTGTATGTGGCTAGTCCCTCTACCTCTGTATGTGGCTAGTCCCTCTACCTCTGTATGTAACTAGTCCCTCTACCTCTGTATGCTGCTAGTCACTACCTGAGTGAGTGGGGGAGTTTAGTTTCACCCCGCACTCATCAATAGTCCAGCTGTATGGCGGCGGTCTCCACATAACTGAATCAGGACCAGCCAATCAAGTGATCAACAGCATGAGCATCAATCTACACAATTGGGATACGATGACGTGTGTCAACCAAATCAGCAAGCCTGACCCCCCGATACTGTTAGTCGCCTCTTACGACAAGCATGGGCTGCTGAAGATCAATTCTAACCCAGATCTTCACGGGTGAGTCACAACCTCTGTAAGTGGCTTGCTGCCCTATCACTGTATGACTTTAGCAATGTATATGACCAAGATTATGTATAACTTACATATTAACACACTTACTTGTTCTGGTGATGATGACAAGTGCCCTGTACTATGACCATCTTGCCATTCTGAAGTCCACCTGGGATGGGGCAGGTGTATGGAATGGTCTGAAATAACAAAATATCACTTAAGACATCTCGAACCCTTGGGGTGGATCCCTCAAGTGGGTAGGTGATCTCATCCAGAGAAAGTCAGGGATCGGGAGTAGAGCCCACAAGTGAGTGCCTGATTTCCGAAGGAAGATATAATCTGTGATGGACAAGGTTCACGAGGGCGATGACTCTTTATTCAGTGAGAAACGCGGCATACATTCAAGGGAGATCACTTCGACAGCCTTATCTAGGTCAACACGACCTGGCTCATGATACTGTCATAACAACTACTTCACATGATCAAACATCTATGTCTACAGAAAGTTGAGGGAATAAAAGTGTTTCTTTTTCTTTTCTTGTCACGACAAAACATTTTCCATCTTCGGTGGAAGTGAATGTCATGTAACCTACCGTAGCATCTAAACACTTCAGCCAAATCTCACATCTCCATTAGATCTATTCACACATGTTGAAGCTTTCAAACTACTTCATTATTTGGATCCAGCGTTCGAATTAATCGCCGGCCCGGAGGCCCAGTACCAGTTGATATTGTATGGCCCGGCAGTTTCAAATATTTGCATTCCCTTGTGGCCTTCAGTAAATTATCTGTCTTTTTTTCCAACTGGAATCTTTCCCATTTTTTTTTTCTTTATTAACTTTCAGGAATTATCCATGATCCATCATGTTACGATAACTTACAGTTTCACTTCCTGGTATTTCAGCGCTTTGCGCATAGAATGTCAACACCAGTCTTTAACAAAAAAAGCTTCGCTAATTGATTTTGTAGAAATAGTGTGAAACTGTGTACAGTATAGTCTATTTTGTTTTTATTGGTTTGACTTTAACAAAATGGGCCTTCAGATTTCATTTAGCGCCTGTAGACGGCAGCAGGCTCTGATGGCCAACTAGCAAATTAAAGTATTGCAAACACTGTTTCGATGAACCTTTTTTCTTCTGCCTATTGACAGTTTCCTCATGCTTTAAATATATATCCTCTTCCTAATAATGATCCCTGTTGCAAACAGAAGCACGAGAAGCTTCTGTTTCGTTCCAATAATAACGATGATTACTCACAGGGAACAACAATGATTTTTGTCTTTAACGCCACACCCAGATTTTCCACCTATATGACTACAGTCTGCAAATAATCGAAGCTGGACCAGGCAATCCTGTGCTTGACATCATGTCCATACAATTACACAGTTGGATTATGCTGACATGCATCATCCAAGTCAGTGAAACTGAGTGAGTGAGTATGGTTTAAGCCGCTTTTAGCAATATTCCAACAATATCATGGTGGGGAACACCAAAAATGGGCTTCACACATTGTACCCATGTGGGGAATCAAATCTGGGTCCCCGATTTCTCAAAACAAACTTAAATTTTTATACAAATTTCAAAGTGAGCTCGACAATTTGGAACAGCTGAATTCTTAAATCAACTGCATTTTAAAAATAAACAAGAAGACAAAGTCATCAATATCCCCAGCAATGGCAAAATACTCTTCATGATTATGTCTACGAGTTATGATTATGTCAAATATTTAGGTGTGTATATAGAAATATTTAGGTGTGTATATAGAAAAGTGGAAGGAGAGTATTGAAAGGTTTTTAAAGTTCTGCTCCAGAAAGCAGCACTATCACCAATTTCAGTCAAACTTGTTGCCATGGAAATGCCAAAAATATTTTATTCAAAATTCCAAAACTACCAAAAGGCACCAGTACACCACTAGACCAATCTATGTGCCAAGTTTGGTGAAGAAATATTGAACGGTTTTAGAGTTCTGCTCCAGAAAAGAGCACTACTACAATTTCAGGCTAAGTCAAACTTGTTGCCATGGAAACGTCAAAAATATTTTATTCAGAATTCCAAAACCACCAAAAGGCACCAGTACACCACCAGATCTATCTATGTGCCAAGTTTGGTGAAGATATATTGAACGGTTTTAGAGTTCTGCTCCAGAAAAGAGCACAACCAGCAATTTCAGTCTAAGTCGAACTTGTTGCCATGGAAATGCCAAAAATATTTTATTCAGAATTCCAAAACTACCAAAAGGCACCAGTACACCACCAGATCTATCCATGTACCAAGTTTGGTGAAGAAATATTGAACGGTTTTAGAGTTCTGCTCCGGAAAAGAGCACTACCACAATTTCAGGCTAAGTCAAACTTGTTGCCATGGAAACATCAAAAATATTTTGTTCAGAATTCCAAAACTATCAAAAGGCACCAGTACACCACCAGATCTATCTATGTGCCAAGTTTGGTGAAGAAATATTGAACGGTTTTAGAGTTCTGCTCCGGAAAAGAGCACTACCACCAATTTCAGTCTAAGTGGAACTTGTTGCCACGGAAACGCCAAAAATATTTTATTCAGAATTCCAAAACTACCAAAAGGCACCAGTACACCACCAGATCCATGTATGTGCCAAGTTTGGTGAAGAAATATTGAATGGTTTTAGAGTTCTGCTACGGAAAAGACAAATGTGCACGGACGGACGGACGGACGCATGGACGGACGGAGTCCATTTTAATACCCCCCGCAAAACGCGTTGCAGGGGATAAAAAGCCCAAACAAACTAAGTAACCTATCAACCAAACTTAAATTGTGTACTATGTTTAAGTTAAATATTGATTTCAGTTTATTCTGGGAAATGCATTTCCCTGCATTTTCTCAAAATCAGTAAAAACTCTAACTTTAGTCAAAACTCAGACTTAAGTTTGTTTAGAGAAATCGGGGCTGGGTCTTCAGCATGACAAGCAAACACTTTAACCACTAGGCTACCCTAACGGCCCCAGTCAAACTGACCATCCCATTCTCTTTGTTGTTTCTTACAACGAGCAATCTTCACTGTTCAGTTGGTATACTATGTTGGTATATTATGGATACTTCATATTTACAGGGACCAGTAATTTGAGGATATATAGATGTGTTTGCTCCCTTGTAAAATGCCTAGTTACCAACCACTTCAGCTGCATCCCACTGAAAAGAATTTAGGGACTACCTTGAGCCAATGCTTAAGTGTGAAAGTTAGAAATGTAGCTTTACAAAGTAAAAATAATTATTAAAACAGTTAAGTTTATTTTTTGCCTAACAGCAATATATCAGCCACATGATGGGGGTCTATAAATAATTGAGTCTGGTCCAGACAATCCCGTGATTGACATCACAAGCATGCATCAATCTGCACAAATCGTACATATCCTTATGTCATTTCAAAATTCTTCATTGTAATATCCCCTGCATATGTACATTGGCTCCCCACACCTTTGACCAACACTTGAGATTTGCCTTCACTTGAGATAGATGAACTTTAGCCAAGAGCCACCATGAGGTCCAACGGTCAGGATGTTGTGTCATGTCTCAACTCTTCGACCCCTTTATTGCTCTCAGCTGTAGATGAACACTATCCATCTATCATAATTATTTTCAAATTATCCCCACAACACAAACTAATTAGTATATCCCCACAACACCAAAGAATTAGTATTCTCATGCCCATAATATTTAATAACTGTAATTATTATCCACCATGCTGTTCATACACATTCTGAGATTTTATTCTCCCTTTGAAGTCATAGCCATGTGACATTGTACTTTCACAATGAGACAACTCTATCAACTTAAAGTATTGATGAATAAAACTCAGTTTGACACATGAGATATAAATAAAGTAGAAATTACAGGTCACAGTGGGATATCGTGGATGACCATTCACATTTTCCATTCCTTACAATGTTTCCCCATTTGGGGTTGAATAAAGTTGTGGCACCCATGTTGTTCCAAGAACCGCCCTGCCCACTTCCAAGACAAACGAATTCTCGAACTTATCTGAACGACCAAAGCTAGTTCACAAACACACATAATACAGCGATGGAATATGATATTTAGAACGTACCGGGTTCACAACAGTTCCTCCAGCGTATGCCATGATGTCGATGTGAGATGTCAAGCTTTCTTGCGACTAAATGCAGTAGCCTCCGAAACAGCGGTATTGTTTACTTATCCGAGTTTAGTTAACCAGACTCTAATAGTGATAATTAATGAAGAAAGTTGCCGGGACCAAAGAAAAGTGTTTACTTATCGGGTCTGTTTAGTTAAGCAGTCTTTACTTAGGTGGTTTCCACTGTACTTCATTATTGGGATCCAGCATTTGAATTAATCGAGTACCAGTACCAGTTGATATTGTATGGCCCGGCAGTTTCAAATATTTGCATTCCCTTGTGGCCTTCAGTAAATTATCTGTCTTTTTTTCCAACTGGAATCTTTCCCATTTTTTTTTTCTTTATTAACTTTCAGGAATTATCCATGTTACGATAACTTACAGTTTCACTTCCTGGTATTTCAGTGCTTTGCGCATAGAATGTCAACACCAGTCTTTAACAAAAAAAGCTTTGCTAATTGATTTTGTAGAAATAGTGTGAAACTGTGTACAGTATAGTCTATTTTGTTTTTATTGGTTTGACTTTAACAAAATGGGCCTTCAGATTTCATTTAACGCCTGTAGACGGCAGCAGGCTCTGATGGCCAACTAGCAAATTAAAGTATTGCAAACACTGTTTCGATGAACCTTTTTTCTTCTGCCTATTGACAGTTTCCTCATGCTTAAAATATATATCCTCTTCCTAATAATGATCCCTGTTGCAAACAGAAGCACGAGAAGCTTCTGTTTCGTTCCAATAATAACGATGATTACTCACAGGGAACAACAATGATTTTTGTCTTTAACGCCACACCACAGTCTGCAAATAATCGAAGCTGGACCAGGCAATCCTGTGCTTGACATCATGTCCATACAATTACACAGTTGGATTATGCTGACATGCATCATCCAAGTCAGTGAAACTGAGTGAGTGAGTATGGTTTTAAGCCGCTTTTAGCAATATTCCAACAATATCATGGTGGGGAACACCAAAAATGGGCTTCACACATTGTACCCATGTGGGGAATCAAATCTGGGCCCCCGATTTCTCAAAACAAACTTAAATTTTTATACAAATTTCAAAGTGAGCTTGACAATTTGAAACAGCTGAATTCTTAAATCAACTGCATTTTAAAAATAAAAAAGCCCAAACAAACTAAGTAACCTATCAACCAAACTTAAATTGTGTACTATGTTTAAGTTAAATATTGATTTCAGTTTATTCTGGGAAATGCATTTCCCTGCATTTTCTCAAAATCAGTAAAAACTCTAACTTTAGTCAAAACTCAGACTTAAGTTTGTTTTGAGAAATCGGGGCTGGGTCTTCAGCATGACGAGCAAACACTTTAACCACTAGGCTACCCTAACGGCCCCAGTCAAACTGACCATCCCATTCTCTTTGATGTTTCTTACAACGAGCAATCTTCACTGTTCAGTTGGTATACTATGTTGGTATATTATGGATACTTTATCTTTACAGGGACCAGTAATTTGAGGATATATAGATGTGTTTGCTCCCTTGTAAAATGCCTAGTTACCAACCACTTCAGCTGCATCCCACTGAAAAGAATTTAGGGACTACCTTGAGCCGATGCTTAAGTGTGAAAGTTAGAAATGTAGCTTTACAAAGTAAAAATAATTATTAAAACAGTTAAGTTTATTTTTTGCCTAACAGCAATATATCAGCCACATGATGGGGGTCTATAAATAATTGAGTCTGGTCCAGACAATCCAGTGATTGACATCACAAGCATGCATCAATCTGCACAAATCGTACATATCCTTATGTCATTTCAAAATTCTTCATTGTAATATCCCCTGCATATGTACATTGGCTCTCCACACCTTTGACCAACACTTGAGATTTGCCTTCACTTGAGATAGATGAACTTTAGCCAAGAGCCACCATGAGGTCCAACGATCAGGATGTTGTGTCATGTCTCAACTGTTCGACCCCTTTATTGCTCTCAGCTGTAGATGAACACTATCCATCTATCATAATTATTTTCAAATTATCCCCACAACACAAACTAATTAGTATATCCCCACAACACCAAAGAATTAGTATTCTCATGCCCATAATATCTAATAACTGTAATTATTATCAACCATGCTGTTCATACACATTCTGAGATTTTATTCTCCCTTTGAAGTCATAGCCATGTGACATTGTACTTTCACAATGAGACAACTCTATCAACTAAAAGTACTGATGAATAAAACTCAGTTTGACACATGAGATATAAATAAAGTAGAAATTACAGGTCACAGTGGGATATCGTGGACGACCATTCACATTTTCCATTCCTTACAACGTTTCCCCATTTGGGGTTGAATAAAGTCGTGGCACCCATGTCGTTCCAAGAACCGCCCCGCCCACTTCCAAGAAAAACGAATTCTCGAACTTATCTGAACGACCAAAGCTAGTTCACAAACACACATAATACAGCGATGGAATATGATATTTAGAACGTACCGGGTTCACAACAGTTCCTCCAGCGTATGCCATGATGTCGATGTGAGATGTCAAGCTTTCTTGCGACTAAATGCAGTAGCCTCCGAAACAAGCGAGTCCACCAGCCGAAGTGATCACAAGATACACTGTCAACACACGGAAGTGAATCACAGCCGCAGTCGATATGCGCAAAGATATCTAGGTCATATGACGATTACCGACCGTGACCTGATCAGGGGTTATCTTCGCGTCAGAACGTATCGTCTTTCTGTAAGTCTGTTCTGAATGATAGGTCAAAGTCTGGGTAGCAATTGTATCCTTAGAATCGGCAAGTCTAGATAGACGGGCAGTCTAGGACGACGGTACGACCTGTTCTTATATAGTCCAGACTAATATCTTAAAGTCATATGCAAATCCAGTCAGAACCTGAACTATCATAGTTCCGATATCATAATTCATTAAATTCTACAGAAAACAACAATTGCAAATAATGTAGAACATAGGCGCATCCAACTGTTCCCTATAAAACAAACCCCACTTGTCCTGCTGGGCGCTCATGCACGCACGCACACACACACTTACACTGGATTGTCAGGTGCTGACTCGATTATCTACAGATCGCCGACATATAGCTGGTTTATAATGCTGAGTGCGGCGTTTAATAGCAAACAAACATAATCTCGATTTCATATCTGTTTCGAACTCATGCAAGGTCACGGACAGTAAATTCCCATATAGGGGGAAAAAATTCAGTATCCACGTAAGGCTCATTCACGCATTGCTTCCAGTCAAATTTTTCATGCATTCAAATGCTTTAGTCCGTCAGATAACATTTTGTAAGGACATCCGCATGCATGGCTTTCGTGCGCTGAATTTGCGCCTAGCCTCGCTCCAAGACTCTACTAATAGATAAGTCCATGGATGTAAAGTAAAAAAAAAACCTTAAAGAGGAAATTCTGTGTGTGTGGACAGTACGGTCTTTAAATTGTTCAACTTGTTGTTTATTTAATCTAGAAATTAATATTTAAAATAATTATTATTGCCTAAGAGACTTGTTGAAGTTGAAACACGCGACCGGCACTCCCTCTCGTATCACTTAGGTTATTTTTAGAAAAAGGAGTCTCGGTGCGAAGGTCGAGTAAGGTGAAAAAGGTTTTAGCGTTTATACTTTGCTGATACTACGGAAGCGCTGAAGGGACCTGATGAAATATAATTTATCTTGAGCGCACAAGTTAGTATATTGAGCGCACAAGTTAGTATATTGAGCGCACAAGTTAGTATATTGAGCGCACAAGTTAGTATATTGAGCGCACAAGTTAATATCTTGAGCGCACAAGTTAGTTATCTTGAGTGCACAAGTTAATATATTGAGATACACTGTTCCATAAGCAGTTCATGTGGAAGCAAGGAGGAGCGGAAACGCGAGCTGATTCATGCTTTTTCAGTCTTGGGTTCCAATACAAACACATAACACATCTTCTTGTCAAAAATCATGGTATAGTATAGTACGCCACTTGAAGCGTATTCTGAGGTGTATGTCCCTCTTTCGTACCAGATACCAGATTTGCTGATGTTACAGTGAGTGAGTGAGTACGGTTTACACCTCTTTTAGCAATATTCCAGCAATATCACAGTGGGGAACACGAGAAATGGGCTGCACACATTGTACCCATGTGGGGAATCGAACCCAGGCGTGACGAGCGGACGCTTTAACCACGAGGCTACCCAACCAACACACACACACTCTCTCTCTCTCTCTCTCTCTCTCTCTCTCTCTCTCTCTCTCTCTCTCTCTCTCTCTCTCTCTCTCTCTCTCTCTCTCTCTCTCTCTCTCTCTCTCTCTCTCTCACACACACACACACACCACACACACACCGCTGATGTTACATACTTTATTGCGGACAACTTCGACGATCTGAACAAAGACATGGTTATCGTTGATGCATCAAAAATGTATCCAATGCGGTTTAATCGTGAAACAGGATACTGTACGGTCGTTGTTGGACCCGGATGGTGTTGAATTTCGCTCAGGACACATCGACGTGTTTATTCTTCAACTTCCTGTGTTGTTAAAACATTTTAAATAGACTACAACACACATACGTATACATAAGGGATTGAAACGGAGGAAGTAAAACGGTAAACATGGTATTTTAGTTAGAAATAAAGTCGGTATATATGCTATACGTGCACATACTAATGGATCAAATTAATCAGGCGGGTTTTATATGATATTGTACAGAGTTAAACTGCCATTGTACCCACGTTAGGAAACATTACTGATACATATGCAAACCAAGACTACAGACTATAGTTCCCTGAAAGTGGTCGACTTTACTTCCAATACATCAGACATTAGTTTTATCATTAAGATAATTAAGTATAACACTCAATGTTTACATTTGTCATGGTCATGTAATACTATATATACAAAATAGAGCCGTAGCACAAAACAAGTTATCCAAGCTTTACGCTAGTGTTCATAATACTATGTACCAATATAAGAAGTAAGTAAAACCACTATTCATCCCTGCAATAAACTCCTACTCATGTTTATGTTTTAATTCTTATTATGACATTACACATACCTAGGCCTGTTTTATGTAATAAAGCAAAAAGTGGTAAAATCAGATACAAAGAATAGTATTGACAAGCACAAAGACAATGAACGTTTACAGAAACATTATCAATGTTCATGATAAATTTGTAATTTGTATACTTTTACATGCGAGTCTCATCACTCTTGCTTGAACCACCTAGTCGCAAACTCTTGGACTTTGCATCGTTTGGAAATCTTCCAAAAAGGATATAAGTTTGTACATTTTAGCCATCAGTCAAGCAAATATGCGTTCCATTAATGCCATTAGATGCTAAACACGAAGTTGAGCGCTCAAGATATTAACTTGTGCGCACAAGATACTAACTTGTGCGCTCAAGATACTAACTTGTGCGCTCAAGATATTAACTTAAGCGCTCAAGATATTAACTTGTGCGCTCAAGATACTAACTTGTGCGCTCAAGATAACTAACTTGTGCGCTCAAGATACTAACTTGTGCGCTCAAGATAACTAACTTGTGCGCTCAAGATAAGTAACTTGTGTGCTCAAGATATTAACTTGAGCGCTCAAGATAAGTAACTTGTGCGCTCAAGATACTAACTTGTGCGCTCAAGATAACTAACTTGTGCGCTCAAGATAACTAACTTGTGCGCTCAAGATACTAACTTGTGCGCTCAAGATACTAACTTGTGCGCTCAAGATACTAACTTGTGCGCTCAAGATAACTAACTTGTGCGCTCAAGATACTTTTTATTTCACGAGGTCCCTTCAGCGCTTCCGTATGATACAGTGATGAGCTGATGTGCATGTACATAGCCTGTATCACAGTCCACAGGCAATTGTAGCGCAAATAGGGTTGCGCAACAAAGAGAAAATTACCAGTCTTCCCATATGCGAGCATATGGAAAGACAAAGAGAAAATTACCAGTCTTCCCATATGCGAGCATATGGAAAGACTGATGCGAACATATGGAAAGACTGGTCATTTTCTCTTTGTAGCGCAACCCTAAGTGCGCTACAAATTTGCCTGTGGCTGATGTGCATGTACATATATAGTCTGTATCACAGTCCCAGAACCACATATTTCCTTCCGACCAGCCCTTTCTGCTAAAGCTAAATGAAGCAAGTCTAGATTTCTTCAGGTTCTGAATCTCCAATCTCACTGGGCTAATTTAAATTTGAATGGAATTATTTTTTTCTTTTGAAGTCTAGTACTTGTGACAGTGCCATCCTTGGGTAGGGTGTGTTTTGGGCACTTGTGTTCGAATCGCTGTTTGGACAATAATTTTTCAAAATAAAAATCTAGTCTTTTACAAACATATATTGTTTTTATATGTTATGATTACCATATAAACTCTCCCAAGAAAGAAACGCATATAGGAATTTCAACTGTATTTTTATGTATATTTTGAAACATCTTGTAGGCTTTATGAGTCAATGAAATATAGCGAAATTGCACACTGGGAATGCAGTCTCATCCGTCTTTGGCACCAACTCGAGGAAAGTCAGTGTTTGAGTGTCACATGGAGACGTGTGGTGGCGCTGAAGTAAATACCTCGTGTGACCACCGTGGGCATCCAGAACTGCACGGCATCGCCTCGGCATCGAACGAATAAGTCTCAGAATCTCGTGTTGCCTAATCGCAGCCCACTCTGCCTGTAGTGCCTGTGCGAGTTGCTGAAGTGTCTGGGGCTGAGGGTTACGGCGTCGCACCCGTCTGTCCACGGCATCCCACAGATGTTCGATCGGGTTTAAGTTCGGTGATCTTGAGGGCCAGGGGAGCACATTGATGTTGTGGTTCTGGACGAAGTCTCTAGTGTGACGTCCTGTGTTGGGCCTGGCATTGTCCTGTTGAAACAATTAACTCCCTCTGGCGATCAATGATTGGAAGGAGGTGTGGGCGTAGGATTTCGTCACAGTACCGTTGAGCTGTCAGGTTGCCCTGGATCATCACCAAATCACTTTTCCTACGGCAGGTGATCTCCCCCCACATCATAACACTTCCCCGGCCGAATCTGTCCACCTGGGGAACGCAAGCGTCGGCGAAACGTTCACGTCGACGTCTGTACACCCGCATTCTTCCATCGCGTCTTTCCAATAGAAATCGTGATTCATCACTGAACCAGATTCTACGCCAATTCGGTAGGTTCCAGGCCTGAACGTTGGTGCACCATTGAACTCGATGTCGACGATGTTGTTGTCGAAGCACAGGGCCAAAATAAGGTCTTCTGGCACGTAAACCAGCCTCTTTCAACCTGTTCCTGACGGTCTGTGCAGAAAGCCTCCTCAATCCGGGTATTTGTCGAGCGGTACTGGTCGCCGTAGCTGTTCGATGACGCAGGTGATGTACCCGGATGTAGCGATCCTGCGCCGCAGTGGTCGCTCGAGGTCGCCCACTACGAGGGGCATCTGCTACCGCATTCTGCCGGCGATATCTCTCCCAGAGCCGTGAAATGGTGCTTTGGTGAAAATTCACGTTGAGACTGGCCAGCTTCAAGCAAACCAATGGCGATATGACGATTGGCTTCACTTAGACGTGGCATTTTGCGTTCGTCAACAATATTCCAAATACAGTGAATAATCAACAGACAGCGATCAACCTTTTATACCCATCATTGAGACTATCTGATC